TGATAATAAAATCTTATTTTGTCAAAGATTTAACAAACTTTAAGAATCTTAAAGCTGAATATTGTTTTCAATGTTTTCTTTCGTCGTTTTGTTCGTTTGACATGAATTACGTGAGTTACAAGAAAGTTAGTTTGAGCACAAAATACATGCTTGAGCATGAATACGGGCCCTGGTATGTTCTCCGTGGACATGGAGGACGTGGTCGAACTTTCCACATGGTAAAACAATGGTAGAGAAGACGTGCTTAACTCGGGACACGATTAGAACTGGGCATAACGTAGTAACGACGGCATTGACGAAGTAATGACATAGCTAAAACCTAGAAGGGGTTTCATTGACGTAAGATTTTTCTCGCTGCGCTGTCACTGTGTTGCTATGTCAACAGAGCTTTCACTACCGAACCTCTCCACGCTTGTGCTGTGGCCATGGTACGTCCATGTGACGTTGTAGAAGACCGCATTACGTTGGTAATACGCCTGTGCCTAACGTTTCTAGCTGGTTATCATCTCGCTTATATCACATTCAGAGAAGTTAAGATCAATACTGGATCCAACTCAAATTCCTCCATCACCTCCGTTCCAATCAACTTTGGATCTGAACACACAGAACCTAAGGATCTTCTTCTGAAACTTTTTTTTCTTCAAGGAAATCAGACTCTACTCCACGCATAAGCTGCACCCCATTACAGGAGCCTGAAAGTCTGTCAAAAATTAATAATAACTGTAATACACAAAACATACGTATAATATGCTTAGAAATAGAGCCTGAAATTTTGTCAAAAATTAATAATAACAGTAATACAAAAAAATACCTATAATATATGCTAAAAATAGATTCTGAAATTTTGTTAAACATTAATAATAACAGTAATACAAAAAATACCTTTAATATGCTTCTTGTATTACTGTTATTATCAAATAACGAAAGGACAAACACGTCCGTACTTGGAGAATTACTATCTTTTTCTGTCGGAAGATTGGATGACCAACGTGCCCCGCCTTCGGGTTCAGACTGGCAGTCAGGGGGTTAGTTCAGCCTACGTTGAAATCGGCATAATTATGGCGTCATATAAAGCATGCAACGTCATATTTTCCCGTCTATTTCACTACTTTCCATGTGTTGCATGGGCCGAACTTCCCAAGGTATCATGGGCCGGACTTGTTCCTAATTGTTATTTCAATAAATTCGTATATTACAGCCATACAAAAGTCAATGTATACCATTATTTGAATAAGAAGCGATTCGGTTTACCGCAAGTTCACGAGAGAAATGAGGTAATTTCTTCTCTCCCAAAACTTTCTCAATTTAAGTAATTTAATGATTGAGTTATCCTCTCCATTTTTTTCGTGTGAATGTCTCACCCAGTCAGTAAAACTGTTAAGATCCTCAAGGTTGTAAATAACGAAATAACTGCTTATGACGAAAATATTAGGGGTGGCCGGACTTACCCCGGGCCGAACTTGTCCCGATTTCCCCTATTTAATTGTGACGACTCTGGAGTCCTCGTCTTTATACATGAAGACTTCTCTGGAGTCATTGTCGTTATACATGTAGTGACTTCTCTAGAGTCATCGTCATTATATCTGTAGTGACTTCTCTGGAATCATCGTCATTATACCTGTAGTGACTTCTCTGGAGTCATCGTCGTTATACATGTAGTGACTTCTCTGGAGTTATCGTCATTATACATGAAGACTTCTCTGGAGTCATCGTCGCTATACATGTAGTGACTTCTCTGGAGTCATCGTCGCTATACATGTAGTGACTTCTCTGGAGTCATCGTCGTTATACATGTAGTAACTTCTCTGGAGTCATCGACATTATATCGGTAGTGACTTCTCTGGAGTCATCGTCGTTATACATGTAGTGACTTCTCTAGAGTCATCGTCATTATATCTGTAGTGACTTCTCTGGAGTCATCGTCATTATACCTGTAGTGACTTCTCTGGAGTCATCGTCGTTATACATGTAGTAACTTCTCTGGAGTCATCCTCATTATATCTGTAGTGACTTCTCTGGAGTCATCGTCGTTATACATGTAGTGACTTCTCTGGAGTCATCGTCGCTATACATGTAGTGACTTCTCTGGAGTCATCGTCATTATATCTGTAGTGACTTCTCTGGAGTCATCGTCGTTATACATGTAGTAACTTCTCTGGAGTCATCGACATTATATCGGTAGTGCTTCTCTGGAGTCATCGTCGTTATACATGTAGTGACTTCTCTGGAGTCATCGTCATTATATCTGTAGTGACTTCTCTGGAGTCATCGTCGTTATACCTGTAGTGACTTCTCCTTGATTTATCGTCGTTATACATGTAGTGACTTCTCTGGAGTCATCGTCATTATATCTGTAGTGACTTCTCTGGAGTCATCGTCATTATACCTGTAGTGACTTCTCCTTGATTTATCGTCGTTATACATGTAGTGACTTCTCTGGAGTCATCGTCATTATATCTGTAGTGACTTCTCTGGAGTCATCGTCATTATACCTGTAGTGACTTCTCCTTGATTTATCGTCGTTATACATGTAGTGACTTCTCTGGAGTCATCGTCATTATATCTGTAGTGACTTCTCTGGAGTCATCGTCATTATACCTGTAGTGACTTCTCCTTGATTTATCGTCGTTATACATGTAGTGACTTCTCTGGAGTCATCGTCATTATATCTGTAGTGACTTCTCTGGTGTCATCGTCATTATACCTGTAGTGACTTCTCCTTGTTTTATCGTCGTTATACATGTAGTGACTTCTCTGGAGTCATCGTCATTATATCTGTAGTGACTTCTCTGGAGTCATCGTCATTATACCTGTAGTGACTTCTCCTTGATTTATCGTCGTTATACATGTAGTGACTTCTCTGGATTCATCGTCATTATACCTGTAGTGACTTCTCTTGATTTATCGTCGTTATACATGTAGTAACTTCTCCGGAGTCATCGTCATTATACCTGTAGTGACTTCTCTGGATTCATCGTCGTTATACATGTAGTATTTTTTCTTAATTCATCGTCGTTATATATGTGGTGAATTCTCTGGAGTCATCGTCGTTATACATGTGGTGAATTCTCTGGAGTCATCGTCGTTATATATGTGGTGAATTCTTAATCACCGTCTTTGTCTGGTTGCTACTTCTCTATAAATTCATCGTCTTCACATGCAGTAACTTTTCTGGAGTCATCGCCTTTAAATATACATGTACTGTAATCTAGAGTCACTGTCTGTGTAGACAGGTTGGGTGATATAGATGTCGATAAGGGGTATATGGTAGTGGGAAATACTACACGTACACATGTCACGGGTACAAACAGATATACGTGCATGTTAAACTTCATTACCAGGAAGATATATGATTCATGTCCTAGAATCTCATTGAAACCTACAAAACTGTTAGCTTCCCTTTAAACACCTTCATCACAACTCTCCCACGTGATAACTTTTGTGAGGATGCTTATTTTCTGGTTAGCTGAGCATTCTCAATGTTCATCTTTGTTGGTCAACGGCCATGCCGCGGTGGTGCCATTGTTTGGTAGTGGTTGTATACGTATCATACTATCAAAGTTAATACATTAGTGAATCATAATCATCACCATGACGGCCTATACACCATACTTCTGGTCGCAGCTTTCCGTCCATCTGGAGTCAATGGTACATATGTATGTTATGGTGTAGAGTTGGTTATAAGTGACCTCGCCGTACTTGGCTGGATTTCCCCTGTGCAGGCGTAGATGTAGAAGTTTTGAGAGGTCTCGTTCTAAAAATTTTAAGCTACTCCTACAGCTCCGTCAGCAAACAGATGACTGAACTACGTGCGGTATTTTTAGTAATACTCTCTCATTCACACATTTTTAGAAGATGTTGTCGATAATTTCTAACCAAAAATATCAAAATTAAAATTCCAGTTACATTTGCACCTATAGACTTGCTACAGTTCCTAGTTTAACAACTGTTACTGATTCCATGTTCCATGTCACATTAACCCGTCCCTCCTATCCCCCTTCGTCTTTTAAACACCTTTGGGACTCGGAAGAGTGATGAAATGTTTCCGCATTTGAATATATTATAAATTATACAAATTTCATGAGTAATTTCAAAATGAACAGAATCAATGTAACAAAGAAATCAGCAGGCAAAATAATAAAACGCAATTTAGAAACGTACACATATAAATAAAGGAAAAATAATTATAGTTATCAAAACCTATTGCTGGATTTGATGTAATGGTGCACACAAGTCTAAAAAGTTCGTATTGATTTCTACCGAAAACTTAGTATTACCACGGAATTAGATTAAGTGGTATTACCGAACAAAAGTAGTTCTAAGTTAAAATCAACATGCAAGGCATTCAAATACATGTTTTCCAAGTATATTTTTTCAATTGGGTGTTCAAGCACCTAGAAGGTAAATTGTGGGATATGGGCGGGTTAGAATATTTACTGTGCACTGTCACACGACCAGTCAGTGGTAATATAGGAGCGTGACAAAACAATTACCATATTTCACCCAAATAACTCCATAACCTGGCTCGGTCACTCAACATCATAAAAGCTACAAATGTATCTCGCGGACTGTCACTGGGAGTCCCATAGCTCGCTACTTGGTAAAGGTATAGATTTTATCAGAGCTCTTGCGTGAGAGAATTGTACTCAGTGCCTTCATGATTTTCATAACATTTTCCTCATAAAGGAGACATTGCTTTTCGACGCTAAATCCAATGCATGAGGCAAACACAGTATCCACATATCTATTTGTCTAACCTGCGAAAGGAAGGACCAAACGTCTAGATATAACAGCACGGGTTTATCTTTAATTTACCCAGAGCATTATCCCTGTGCATAGCCAGTTTGTTAGCTGGCTGCTTTCATTTCTGTCTGGCATTGCCAGCACGAAGTGAATTTTGTAGGCCAACATGACCTTGGTCCGCCCAGCACTACGAGCTGTGGATCGATTCCCGCCACAAAACCGGAAATAGTTCATACCGGCTGTTCATGCGCAAAATTGTGCGCAGTGCTACCTATATCATGGAAGACGCCTGGTGAGTACGGTTTGTCGGTTCCGAATTCCATCAATTCCTTAAATTTAAGATGTCTCTTCTACAGAAACTTTGATCAAATGAAAGCTGATAAACCAAAGATTTTTACTTGCATTATTTTCATGCGCAAAATCGTGATTATATAGGTAAAATGCACTGTAAATTTAGGGACGCCTAGCGTTTCATTGTCCCGGACCGCGATCATTGCAGCCAGTGTGTTGTTTAGATCGTGTTAAGACAGGTTCCGGGTTGAATTATTTCCTTGTGTTATACTTTTATCAACTAAGTATTACATTTTTATGCACGATATAAGTCAGGCTGTTTGTGTGTTCTATTGGAAAAGGTATTAATCTCGATTTTCTGTCGACTGGTTGAAAGCATAATACACCGGAATCGGAAATCGAGGAAGACATGTTTTGTTTCTAAAAATAGGCACGGTTGGTTAATCAATATAGAGAAACAACCGCGCGTGTAATCAGACGGTAAACGTTCAAAGATAGTACAAAGAATTGTTTGTTTCTACCATGGCTACATACATTTCTTAGGTTTCCTAGCCTATACAGACGTTATTGGATTTGTTGGCAAAATAAAATGCTAAAAGCTAAGTACACACTACAGTTATCCCAAGTCGATTTGGTTTTGAAATATTTTATTATAGGATGTACTATATTGTAAAAGAACTATCAAGGTGAATAATCCAGAAGTTGATATTTATCACACTAAAATGAGATGTTTTAAACAGCAGACCAGTTAAGTCATTTTCATGTTGGAAATTATTAACAGCTGCAGTTATATTTTTCATTTGAAACTATTCGGCTTCAGAGATATTATTGCATACTTGCCAAGTTCTCAACGAAGAAATGAAGGTCATAGACAATCAAAATGCAATTAAATCTGCTAAATTGAAGGTTATTTATAATTAATTATGTTGGTTCACAGCCATCAAAATCAGTAGTATGGTATTTAAAGTATTAAAATTGGCCAATTATTGCAGGATTTTTGTCAATTTTTTTCAGACAAGTCCTGACCATCAATTTCAAAATTGGTGAGTCCAATGACTAAAAAGATATTGGGTCCTTAAAATCTGGACAAGTACTACAGGAAAAGTGAGAGACCAGAATCAAATTTGTGTCGCAAAAATCGCTTTCAAATGTACAAGTATTCTTTCCAAAGGAATATCTTCAAAACTTATTGCACAAGTCATTGAGGTCATTTGTAGAATACAACTGACCTGTGCAAATACAGGTGACTGCAGTTGGGAATTATCTGGTCACAGGTAGTCACCAGGACAAGTTCCGCTACATTTATTCATACATGCAAAAAAAAAGTATTTTTCCTCCTAAAAAGTATGGAAGTGTAATGCTAGAAATTATATATATAGGCACCTCATGAGAAATGATGCTGGGTTTGATGCATGAAACAATAAAAAAATGAATATCTATTATTTATTTTCTTGCAGATATAACACTGTTATGGGAAGAAAGAAGAGGCAAAATGGTTTACGACTTTGACGTGAAGACCTTTTGTCAGAACTTGAAGGCAACCAAGCCTCCTTATGAGTGTCCTGTGAAATCTTGTGGAAAGGTGTACAAGAGTTATTGTGGTATACAGTTTCACATGTATAACTATGACCATGATAATCCAGAAAATAATGCTTCCCCAGCAAAAAAGCCCCCCAGCAAGAAGAAACAAAAATGGCATCATAGACAAAACAGACGATCTCCAACTCCACCTGAATTCACACAAACATTGAGAAGAGAAACATTAACTTACGCAGAGTCTCAGAGGCTTGTGGAAGTAGACTTAGAAGGAAGAATTCATAGAATTAATATATATGAACCACTGGAAATAATTTCTCAAGATGAAATTGACAATCACCACAACACAGAAAAAGAGGAAAAAGCGGAGAAAAGTCCTGTAAAACATGTGAAGTCAAGTGATGGTTCTAAAACAAGGAAAGAACCTAGTGTTCCTAGTCATACAAACGCAAATTCTAAGTTACCAGAAGCTCAGTATAAGGTAATTGAGGACTTCATCAAGCCTTCCCACCTTCAACCAAGACCAAATTCTTACTACAGATATATAGAAAAGTCCACAGAAGAATTGGACAATGAAGTTGAATATGACATGGATGAAGAGGTATATTTCTTAATAATGCATTTTTATTAGTTTTGGAAATGGTTATGCCAAAACAATAAGTGATGGTGATTGACCATATCAAATATCAGTTCATTAGTTGTCGGTAAATGATCATTGAAATTTGAAAATGAAAAAACAGTATTACTGACTTAAACCAATTTTTCCTGAATTTTATACTGACTTCAAAAATAGAATTGGGGAGGGGGGGAGAGATATATAATACAGATTGCTTTGAGTTAATTTCAGTTTTTAAAGTTTGGCGGTGAAAATGATTTATTCTCTTATTATGTATATGAGTCTATCGTTTCAGGATCATTCTTGGCTCACATTGGTCAATGAAAAAAGGAAGAATGACGGCATAGGTTCAGTAAAACAAGAAGACTTTGAAATGCTTATGGACAGGTTTGAAAAAGAAGCATTTTTCCAAAGCCAGACCTCTGGCAAGGATGTGGGTCCTCCTATAGATGAGGATGCTGTGTGTACTATTTGTATGGATGGTGAATGCCAAAACAGTAATGTTATTTTATTTTGTGATATGTGCAATCTGGCGGTCCATCAGGAGTGTTATGGTGTTCCGTACATTCCAGAAGGACAGTGGTTATGTAGACGTTGCCTTCAGTCGCCTTCCAGGGCAGTGGATTGTTGCCTATGTCCAAACAAAGGTGGTGCTTTCAAACAGACTGATGATGGAAGGTGGGCTCATGTGGTGTGTGCCCTGTGGATTCCAGAAGTAGGTTTTGCAAATACTGTATTCCTTGAACCTGTAGACAGTATGGACCATATTCCACCGGCACGATGGAAACTTTCTTGTTACATTTGTAAACAGCGAGGTACAGGTGCCTGCATACAGTGTCATAAAACAAACTGTTATACAGCATTTCATGTTACATGTGCACAGCAGGCAGGGTTGTATATGAAAATCGAACCAGTGAAAGAACCTAGTGCTAGTGGTCCAACAATGACAGTTAGGAAAACTGCCTACTGTGATGTACATACTCCAGCTGATTCAGACTGTATGCCAATGCTTGCAGACAGTTCAGAAGAGGATAAGTCGGCCTCGGCGAAGAAAGCCAAGGAAAAGTCCCGTATAAAAATGAGGAAAGCGAGAAAAATCTTAGCTGAGAAAAGAAATGCAATGCCTGTTGTATCAATTCCAATTATACCTCAGCAAAGGTAAGGGAACTACTACAAAAAGATGCAGTATACAGTTTTTTATGACGTGACTACAGGGATTTATCATAGCCATCCCCTTTTTCAAACAGGTTGGGCACAGCCTCTCTTGTGACGGATAACATTTAGGTAGCAGTACTTATTGTTTATAGTAGAGCTGTCACAGGTACAAAATTACAGCCTCGGTCGGGAACATGCAATTAGAAACCTGAATTTTAGTTGTACCCATGTACTTGAAATATTTAACCCATGCAATAAACAGTATTATTGGAGAGCTGATAAAATCTAGTATTTGTGACTATAACAAATCTTTGTCAAGATATCAATTTCTTTATGAATTAAGCGGTAGTTTCTAACTGAAAAATAATGTACGTATCAAACCATTGTATTTAATTTGTAAATCCCAAGCTGTAGTAATGTTTGTTATGCACTACACACAACATTGTTTAAACATTAACTGCACACAATAAACCAGAAGTATGGCATACACAGATTTAATTGTACACTCTGGTGTTGTTATACTTCATATCAATGTACATATACATACTTGACATGGACACATGCATATATACAGTACAGTTACCTTAAAGTTGTAATTAAAAAATCTGTTCACAGAGCAATGCAGTTATATTAAGTGTAAAACTAGCCTTTCCCAATTTATTTCCTCACATGGTCGACATATACAAAACACACAGTAGGTTAGGGGACGTACATATACAGTTGTGAGAAAACACGATGACAAATGTATATCCAGTGTTGCTTGTGAACATGTTCCAAAGCATTAAAGGTCATTTCTGGTGAGTGAACGCGAAAAATGTGGCTTGAATATATTGAAATATTTCATTCTATCAAATGTGAACAGGAACAAAACGAGGACATCATTCTTGCAGTATTATATGCAATGAGGTACACTAACATATATATACATGCACTTTTGTGCAGATATGGATTTATTCTGATATCTATCCTTATGTGAAAATGAGTCCTCTCTATAGATAGAATAAACAAAATGTTATACTCCCCTGTGTCCCCTCCCCTCCTCAGGACTATTTAAAAGTCAGCCCAGAACAAAGTCATTGTTAAGCTTTTTGTTATTTATTTTTTGTGCACAACTGCTGAAAGAATGATGCCCCCTTTTTGTTGCAAATAGTTTGTCTTTTATTTCATTTTTTCTTCCCCATTTCATAAATAGAATTGTTACTGTTATCTAAGTAAAGGATGTGCCCAACCTGAACCCATTCCCTATTGAAAAGACAACCTGTTTTCCCCCGTTTTGGACCAGATTATTCTCAATCCCCATTCACATTCCCCTAAACAATCAACTGAAACAATGTATTCCATTTCACAATTCATTTTTCATTTGAATATTTTCCATCATCCAAGTTCCTTATTTTGTAATTATATCATGACTTTTCACAATTTTGGCCATTTCACATTCAATATCATTTCAGAAAATACACTAATAAATCCTTGTAGAAGGGTGCATGCTTTTGTGTTGTTAAGTAGCTATATATATATATAAGTTTAAGAGATCTTAATAACACTCTTGACAAGTAATTTGAAGTGAATAATATGAATATAATTTGAAATTAGCTTCACAATCTGAATGGACCATCCTTATTAATTTTCTGAAATTGGTAATTTGAATCTTAACCTGTCTGACATTATCTCCTAAATTATTGAATTTGTTTTTTTTTTGTTCAATTAAGAAATAATGGGTTGTTTTCTCTATTTTACTCCAGGTCAAGGGTCAAGATCCACACAGTAATATCCGAATCCATGTAATGCAATCTTAATACTCACTTTAGTCTCTACTGTCATGCTCTTTCATGATGAGACTCTCTGAGTTTTAAAAAAAATCACTTCTACTAACCTGAATTTATCATTTATCCTAATTAATCGTGTGTGGTATAATTGAATTTCTCAACTGAACATAGTTTAGTTTTTACCAGTTTCACCAAACTTTAAATCCTTAAATACGATGTACCTCATTGCATGATCATGATACATGCACATTTGAATTCATATAAATATAGAACAAGCTGAACAATATGTGTGTTGAGGGATTTGATTTTCCCATCAAACATCAACTAGATTCTGTAATGCTATTTCAAGTCTGTCTTGAAACTATCTTAATCTGACACCCACTTGTTGATATATCTTGATGTAACATGTGTTTCAGTCGGTTTAGATGGGATTTCAGAATATACAGGGTTTATTTGGTAGTATATATATATAATACCATATCTAATGTATGAATATTCAAGCTATTTTCGGGTAGGTCGAGTACATTCTGGCAAGTTAAATTAATTTGGTTTGGACAATTGCCTTTAAAAGTTAAATATGGAACTCTGTGATAGAACTTGACAAAGCAGGAGATTATTTAATCAAAGTATCAAGGCATTTGTTCTGACAAATCAGTCCCTTTAAGATTTGTCCAGGCCAAAATATGACATAATAAGTTAGGAGGGCAGCTTTCATACATGTACTTCTTCCTCTTTGAAGTGCTATAAGCTGATCATGAGATGAGTCGGTGAGAGAAAGATGTTACATGCAGTACTAGTAGAATTGAACTCGCATTTACGAAGAAAAGTAATATTTAAATATTTTTAGTAATAATTTAGCCCTTAAATCCCTAAAATCAATAAAAGAAAATATCTTTTAAATGCCCTTTAATAATTTGTGTGAACTTTGATTGGTCCAAACTAAATGTACACGGTGATTGCTTTTCATGATGTCATTAATTATTTTGATAAATATTTTCTGAATACAAAGAATGTGTGTTATTATTTGAATTTTGTGTCTTGTAGTATGCATGTATGTATGCATGTATTATAGTCTTAAAAATAGGATTTATACATTGATGTATACAACAGCAAATCTGTTTTGTTCTTTCAGGTTGTCCAAGATAGGTCAGTTATTTGTCTTCCCTAAGAAGCAAGTATTTTTGTCCCGGTTATTGAGCTATTGGACTTTGAAGAGGCAGTCACGGAATGGAGTACCACTTTTACGTAGATTGCAGTCAAATCATATGACAAGGAACAAAGAACAGGTGAGAGTCAAAGATTTTTACAGCACTGGTGCATACCTGGCATCTGTTTCCTACCATTCCTGTAAATGACTTGCACAGATGGACAGGACAAAAAGCCATGTTTGCAATGTATCTTGCTTGAGTAGAGAGGACTATTATTTTGTTTAATGGCTTTGATCATGACCCACTTTAATGGAAGTTACATTTTATATCTACTCAAAATATAATTATATTAAAGAATCGGTATGTTATAATAATTTTCACTTGCATATTTGCTTATTGATAAAGAGTAAATATTAGTTCGCTGATTAGTCCAGTTTTGATTAATTACTTCATAATAAAAAAACTAATTTGTTTTCATCTTATGCAATAAATGGCATAGTTCAATTTCAAGGTGAAAAATGACAAACAGAGCAATGCACTGAAGGAACAACTGAAGTACTGGCAGCGACTGAGACAAGACCTAGAAAAGGCACGCCTGCTGGTGGAACTGATCAGGAAGAGGGAAAAACTCAAACGAGAACAGGTATGGCACCATCTACTTGTCAATAGTTTATATAAAGGAAAAAACATAAAGCCTTAACTTGTTGTCAGAATAATATGACCTGACGGGGGCCATGTTATCACATGATAGGACATTTAGGTGTGAAGGCACTTTGTGACCCTTAACCTTTTCACCCCTATGTAACTTTAGTAAACTCTACAATGCATTAATCTGGTTGATTCCATTATGGACTACATTGGTGAAAGGGTTAAGTGGTCCATTATCTGTGGACACTCTTCCTGTGATCTTAAGGGCTTAACATAGAACCTGAATCTAAGCTGTTGTAAAGATGTAAAATTCCAATCAATCTTCTCTATAGACAATAAATAACAATTCAAATCTAGTTCATCACCTGTAGAACAAATGTGAACTACATCACATATTATGTGGTGTGAGTTAACGTACAGGTGCATGCATGTCAGAATGTGCAACACATGTATAAATACAGTTGACCACATGCCATTACTTGGCTCAACATTTTATGTATGTTTTATGCTCTTACTTCTTCATCTAGCCAAAGCACTTGAAAAATGCAAAAATATATCAAATAAGCTACAATTATTTCATGCTTTTAAAAAACATCTAGAATAAGAATCAAGTTCAATTTTTATTTCGTTCCACTATGCATACATCATAATCAATAAATTGTGAAATATGTGTTCAAGAAAAATGCGAATTAGGTCCTGATCAGGATTAATAATGTATTATAAGAAAGTGGTGTAAATAAACCACACATTGTTTTATAAGCTACGGTACATATAAAACTACGATAACATTTGTTCACTTTGGGGTTTTATATTACCAAGAAGACCATGGAGAATGAAGCAGAAGGATTATCTTTCCAACAAATGTCTATTTAAAGGTGCTTGTTCCAATAAATATATACAGGTGACTATATGCACAATAGATTTGCCCTGATTTTGTAGAAATCTGATCAGATAACATTGAATTTTGTTTCTAGATGTCAATATTTTTTTCAGAAGACTATATCATTATCATGTTTTTTTTGTGCTTCAAGGTCAAAGTGCACCAGCTGGCTCTAGAGCTACAGCTGCAGCCGTTTGCAGTCCTACTCCGCCACACACTGGACCAGCTGCAAGAAAAAGATAATGCCAGCATATTTGCAGAACCTGTGTCTTTGGACGAGGTAGGTCTCTCCATTTGTGCAATCAGGATGGGTATAAAAAAATCATTTCACCATATTAAAGGAATTCAAGTCAGCCAATCCTTGCTGATGTGGCACTCATACATGTAGATAAGGTTTCAATTCATGGTAATTTTAGACTTGAAGTTTTTTCCACTTCTGAGTTCAAAAGTTTGAATGTACTTTGTTTGATTTCTTATCTATTCTTTACTCTGTAAAATAATAATAAAATGTTTCCAATTTGCTTTGTTACTTTGCAGCATTAATTTGAGAAAATGTCAAGAGTTAAAAAGTTATCACAGATGAAATAAATAGAATTTGTTGTTTGGTGTATTGAAGTATCTATAGTGAGCAACAATGTAAATCATTAATAAATGTTGATTTTATTTTGAAGGTGCCAGACTACTTGGAGTATATCCAGACACCAATGGATTTCCTAACAATGAGACAGAAGGTGGAGAGTCACAAGTACAAAACAATGGATGAGTTTGAACTTGACTTTGAAAACATCATCAACAACTGCCTCATGTACAATGCTAAAGACACGATGTTTTACAGGTCGGCCACACGTTTACGAGATCAGGTACATAAAACTTAAATGATGATAGTACAGGTAAAACACTCCTTAAAACATCTATAATGCTGGATTAACTCATTACCACTGAAGACACATTTGAACTCTTCCAATTCAATGGTTGGAATAGTCCCTTATGAAATTTCAGGGGTTGATGAGTTAATGTGCCCCACTATAAAGGTATTCTGGTTCAAATCTTCATTACAATTATAAAATTCAATGTTACATCTGTTTTCTACTTTTAGATCGCTCAAATTTATTTACAACTAAACAACAGATTGATAAACAGTCAATTAAGGAAATGTAGGGCACATATGTCAGCTTAGTCATCTCGCATCTGGCATTGTCTATGTATTTGGCTTATACTGGAGTTAAATATACAAAACAATGTTAGAAATAGACGTTGTTGACTTGTAATGCACTTTGATAATCCCTAAGAGTTTTTCAAAATGAGATTATTGATCATGTTTACTTGTTTAGAACAAATGACCCGGTACTGTACCAAATCAGATATATCAGTTTATATTGATTATCCTCTCATTAAGCACAGGTCATTTAACAGCTTTGCCATTAATATTCCATTTCCTCATGCTCAATTCAATAGGATTACAACTAGATGGGTAGTTACTCCTTTAATTTATGTAAACATGCATTGATGACTTGTGTAGAGAAATACAAACAGGACAGTAATTTTCTCTAATCAATTTTTTAATTTTTCACACTTTTATTTACAGGGTGGTATGGTGATTCGAGCATCCAGAAGAATGGCAGAGAGGGTTGGTTATGACCCTGACACAGGACTTCACCTGGAGAAACCTCCCCATGAGAAGGAACCAGTTATTTTGGAGGACTGTAAGTGTGTTATATAATAAACATAAAAAATTATAGTGAGTGTTTATGTATGCAGTATGTGCTGATTTTTATGTGTTTGGGCTATACAGCACAGAAATACAGTAAAGACACATTTTAACTCCAAACAAAATAAGATTATTTAAGATAAATCAGAATGATCTGTTTGGGTAAGGAAGGGCATTTGGCTTGTCCCAGTTTTAAGTAAATTTTGTAATCACATTGTTCCACTGCAATTCAATATTGAATGGCCAAATAATATTGCATATTTCTGAAATAAATCACAAGAGCCATTTTCTTTTTAAAGCTTTATATATATCTGTTGTTCTTTACAGTTGATAGTTTCCAAGAAAAGAGGGAAAGCTTTCCCCTGGATGAACAGTTACGCATCCTGTTGGATAAAATGGACATGGCTAACAACATGAAAGGTGAACATTGTCAAGAACATATATAGCTAAAGCAATAAAATAGCAAGTTTTATATCCAGCTGTTCCACAGAATGGTGTTAAAAGATCACTATGAAATTAAGTAGAATATTATTCTTAGATTTTCATGATCTATTTTATCATATTAACAAAGAAATTATACTACATTAAAATCAAGTCAAATATTGATATGCTTTAAAGGAATTCCTCTATGAAGATTTTTTTTCTTTCTAATCTGTGTACATGCAAAATTTACAAGTTGGAATTTTAAGAAAAATCCTCTTGTTTTGTTACACTGGAAGGGGCCCCTAAAGAGAAAAGTGATGTAACATGCAATGATTTTGTTTATCCAGGACAATCCAGTCTCGCAAAAAAAATCAAGAAAGATATTATCAAAGTGAGACAGAAACTTGCTATTCAGAAGGAAGGTTTACAGGCGAGTGATCTGGACGACAGCATAGGTACAGGTAAACTGATGTTAATATATTTATTGACCACTGAAACCTATTCTGACAATTGAAATATTATTTGAAACCACTTTTGTGATGTTTTAACTTTTGTGGTTTAATATCAGTTATTTAAATTAGATGTATGTCAATAGAGTGTTAAATGATTGTCTTTGACTTCCTGTATTCACTTTTGACGTAATAAATACATTAAATCACAAAAAACATCTATAAATGTATCCATCATGTCGTTTGATTCTAATGGAATGTGATAAATATTGGCAATGGAGCCTTGATTAGTACACGGGCCCAATTTTCCAACTTTTACATTAAAAACTATGTTTGAGATAAAAGCAGAACATGACATAAACACATGTTATTTGGAACTATTGAAAGCATCAATTGTTTTATATATATTGTTACAGTTGTAATTGACTTGATAAACATAAAGTTAAGATATTGTATTTGGAGGTAATTGTATAAACAATTGCAAGCTGTCTATATAGTGATAAACTGTTATTGTTTATTTACAGTATATTATTTAAAATGTGATAAGCTAAACAACAACACTTAACACCATCACTCCAAACTAAAGGACTCTTACCCATTGATTCCCTGCCTTCTACTTCTAGGCAAATTACGATGAAGTTCAAATCTAGGGGTGGTACACTTGAACAACCTGGAGTCCTGGGATGGGATAGATATTTTACTGGGATAGCCCTTTTATCATTTCTACAATTTGAAATTAATTATTTAACGTTTTGCAGTATCTGACCAAAACGATGATTCCATGGCCGAAGATGTGAAAGAAGAAACTCCCGTCCGTAGCACAAAGTCCCCTTCTGTTGACAAGTCAGCTGGTAAATCCTCATCCAAAGACACACCCTCTGGTAGGGGGCGTGGTCGGGGGAGAGGCAGGGGGCGTGGCAGACTGACAAGTCACAGCAAGAGTGAATCCGAGTCAGAGTCAGTGGTGCTTCCCAAACATTTAGGAAAGGAATTAGGTGTGTCATCCTGATGGTAAATTTATTGATATCGTGTATTTCTGTAGTATTTGAAAACACTACCTATATCTCTTGTCTCATGTTATCTGACATCATTCGCTATTACTAACCTCAATATATTCATTTAATAAATATTATACTGTATTGAAAAATAAATTAAACTGTTGTTCAAAATAAGTTCTTTTTAAATAAAATCATGTTCATTTTTTTGTACGCTAAATTTTGGAATATTTTGTTCCACACAGACTAATAGCTTATAGGGTTTTGATCTAAAAAGACAGCGTTTCATTGATATCAAGCTTAGAAGTAAATAATGGTCTTATAGTTCACAAGATGATTATCTGACAGTTCATATAGCTCAAATTTTAATAGAAGGTAGGCACAGATTATTAGCCTTTAGGAAGTAGATCTAAAAGGACAAACAATTTATATCGCACTAAATAGTAAGTAATGGTTTCATTGTAGACAAAAGACGATCATCTGACAGCTCGCGTACCACAGAATCATCAGTTTCATCAAAAAATGAGGACAGTAATTCATCTCAGCCAACAACAAGTGGGGTGAATAGAAGAACAGCTGTATTGTTTAGTAAGAAGGTGTTCCGCAGCAAGCAGGATGTCTCCAACCCAAGTAGTCCTTGTACACCGCCCAAAAAACAAGGGAAAGCTGGTCGACCCCCAAGACAAAAAGTCATGGAGCAGTCAGACTCACCACAGCCTCCTGTTCTTGAACCCATGAGTCCATCTACAAGAAGCAGAGGTCCCAGTAGTCCAGCTTCCAGGAAAAGATCACACAGTGCAATAACCTCACCAGATAGAGAGGGAAGACCATCACCTCCAAAGCGTACCTCGTCTCTGACGGAACCCCTGTCACAGTTTGCTGAACCACCAGACCTGACTAAACGAGACAGCTTCATGGTGTATAGGGGTCCTGATAATCTGAGAAGCTCGTCAGAATCGGATAGTACCTCTATGATCAGTACAAGTGATGATTCCATATCCGAGACATCAAGCGGAACCTCCAGCAGCAACAGTCGATCAGGTAAACATTCACCTAACACTCAACCCTACAGTAAACAGACATACTCACCAGATTATAATATAGATGTTTAAGTATTTATCTGTGTTTGCACATTTAATATTATGGCATGTGTCTTATTTTGTGACAAGTTCCATCTTCTATGATACTTGGTTTTGGGAAACCTTAACTTTTTGTGTGTGTACTGCTTTTTGACCCGTGACTGCTAATTTTGATTTGTTTACTGCCACCATATTTTGTATTATGTCGTTAAAGATGGCTTTTGACTTGAAATATACATGTGCATTATTTCCCCTTTAATACCCAAGTTAGTTAATGTATTCCTTTGGTGTTCAAAACATGACGCCAAATCATTTTAGTTGCAATAATTCTTTGCTTTTTGCACACATTTTCACTGTGGTTGTTTTTCGTGAAATAGCAATGTTAATATAATTTGTGCTAAAATATGACAGATAGCTTGCTTAATTCATGATAAACACATTGTGGCATGTTAAACTTATGCTTGGTGCCTGCTTCTTTCATGCCTTGCTGTGTGCTGTTCGTGTGTAGAGTTAAATTCAAACGGAATGCCAAAGCTTTCTGAAGATGGTACAGAGAGTGAGTACTCCGGGTCCCCGGGCTCCAATGGCACTGCAAGGAAAAAAGGTATGGATAAGGCCTGACCCTCATCTCTAAAATTCACCTAATATCTACTAGAACAAAACAATAACCAGTTATGTACTCTAGTAAGATTTGGGTGGTGAAGCTAAATTCAGATTACTATATATGTAGATAAAATGAGGAATTGTATTGCGTAAATTATATTTTTGGTAACTATAGCATATGAGAACATACAAAAGAAATTCATATATGTAATCAACATTCGTGAGAAAGACGAACTTACAATCAGACGTTACATTAATGTGGAGGTAGCCATACAGATGTCCGATAAGTAGTTTTGATACAGACGTCACTTCTGGTACACAGTTTACAATGAGGTACTGCAGTTTCTGTCTGTTTTTCAACAATTTTAACAAATTTTAAATGGATTTTGCAAAGTTGACTGGAAACATCCTTAGCTTAGGTGGTAGGGATTCAAGGTTGTGCAAATGGAAGGAAAAGTGGTGTTGGGGGTAATTCAGCAACTTCTCCTCGGGAACTTTGTGATGGATGTTTGGTTGGAAACATTCTCAAGGGAAGGAGATTCAAAATTGAAAACGTATATTCTAGTTGGATTGGTCAGGGGTACAACCACTCCCCCGGGGGCTTAATTCTATGATCAAAGCATGGAAATGAGTGAGATTCCCATCCTAAACCATATATACAATAGCTGTGCAAGAGAAGATGGATACAGGATTGGCCCTAGGGTCTAGGGCTGTCCCTTGGGACCTAAATAGCAGGGTCAACACTTTAAGACTGTCAAGATCCCCACCCTTTAACCATACAATGTGTATGTTCTTGATGCATATGAACAGACAAACAATCTTGATACGTCCTGGGATCTAGCCAAGTCCTAGAGATTTATTTTGCCATATTTCTTCCAATGAGAATTTGTTTTGCCCTGCATGATAACTTGAATATCTAGATATTAAAGCAATATATATACTTTGCTTCTTGTGTATAATATGTATAATGAATCAAAGAAATATTTTAGAAACATCACCAACATTGTTCTTAATTGTATAGTGATTAGTGTTGGTTACCACCTGACCTGGAATACTTGTCATAGTTCAACACCAACCTCTTCCTAGTTATATATTATATATTTGTTTATATCTCCATTGTTGTCTGCTTGTAACAATGCTGTTTACATGTGTTATATAAATTACTGTCTGGATGTAGTGGGATGCACAGAGATGAAGGGGCCACCAGCGGAGTCCTCTTTGTGACCCCATTTTAACATCCACTAATTATACGGGGCGGAATGGGTTAACATTTTACCTGTCCCCTGAATGCCTAGAACTCTATATGATCTTTGAGAGCTGGTGTTACTGAATTGGCACACTGGCTTATTGAGTTGTTTTCAGCAGTTTAGAGTCCAGACATCGGTTATTTGCACTCTTTGCTTAACAAAGAAAACCAATGTTTTCGAAAGCCCGTAATAAGTTTTAAATTCCTGTTTGTGTTTATTATTCTCACTAAGCTGATTAATTTTATTCCGAATATAAGACTAAAAAGTTTTATTTTGCTGGTGTATCTAAATTTCTTGGTAGCATATATATCTCTTTTAGGCATTTTGTCATATTTCAGTTTCTGTTTCAGTTGTGAAGTTTGAGTTGTTAGATTTTGAAGTGGATTTCAGTCATTCATATGTAGATGAAAGTACAGTACCAATATCAGCCCTATTTCTTGGGATTGTTTTGATATCTCAACTAAGATAGAACACTACCTTATGTATAAAGTCTACCTTTTAGTATTTTATATTTAGTCTCATTTTGGTGATAAAAACATTCATAAATATTGTTCTGAATGTCAGCCTTGTCACATGTGATTGTTTCAAGTCTCGACTCAAATGTATGCAATTACAAGCATTTGAGTGAAACTTTTGTTCTCTAAATATGGTATAGCAAAGTTATGTTCTTAAACATGTACTAGTTATAAGAACTGGGAACAAATATATGGCTTGCAATTGGTGCGTGATATAGATCCATGGAAGTGTTGTAAACTATTGTGTGTGCTTCCCTTCTCTGCCATGATAATGTACGCTGTATCTGCTGTAAGCCATCTTTCTTTCCTTTCCTTGCTTTGTCTGGTGCTCCTCTTGACACCGATACACTTATCCAGTACCTGTAAAAATGTAACATGTATAATGTAAAACAGCTATGTACTAGAACACAGCACAACACCTAAAAGTTGGTCATGTGTTAAGGTTTCTTTCTCTGATAGCACTGCTACACATAACTGTGTTATCTATACACAATGCTTGATGGACTTGCATCAGTATCAGAAATATATCACATGTTTGGCACAACCCATTGTTTTTGTGGTAAACCCTCTCACCCCCACAAATTGATGTGGGTAGTGCCTAGATTATGCAAGGTCCGGTCCACTGTGGGGATGACAGGGTTACCTGATTGTGTCTCCTTCTCTTTACAGTGTTTTCCCCAGGTTCACATAGACGGCTGTAGACAGGTGGACGCCACATAGCCACATTTGATTTCACATTTTTATAAGGGGAGGTGGGCTGTCATTTTAGACAGATAAAGCATACAAAGCCATTTAACTTATTCCATTTACAGATTTTCCCATGTTTTTGCTGGCTGTTTGTTTACATATTCTGGGGAAATCACTGCTCCTTTTGTGCACATTCCAATCAATACCTCACTTATGAATGGATTTTTTATGAAATGAATTGTGATAAATGTAACAAATGCTCAAGTTTTATTGTCATGATTACGAGAAAATTTCAAAATTTGTGATATTTTTAGAGTAGACTGCTGCTTTTTTGCAGGATAATGGAAGTACTGCTGACATTTAATTACTCGTTGTGTCTTGAATTGAGACCGGACGATGTCAATATTTCATCGTAGTAATCCATTCATTGCTTACATGTTAAAACATGCGTGACTGATGCTTGTGTTGTTGAAGGGTTTAATCTATTTACACCTTGTCTTTGCTATAGTAATTTGTGTATCTGGTGACGGACTTTCAGTTACTGGTGTGAAGTCACGCATGCTGACTGGTATCCCAGGTTCTCCTGCATGTAACCCTGCTACAGCTTCTCACAGCGTACAGACCAATAATGCTTCTACTAGTTCTCTGCATGCTTTGCTTGTTGAGGATGCAAACTTCCATGAGCTCTGCCTCTCGGATGGGTTGGATGATAGTGCTAATGCTCCAGTTGATAAGTTAAATGGCAGTAAGATTATTTGTGATTCAAAAAACAAAAAATGTAGTAGTCATGGATTTGTCATTGTCAAAAAGACAAAATCAAATCAAAAGAAAAGTAAACTCTTTAAATCGAAACAAAATGAGAAGCAAACTTGTGGCAGTAGAGTAGCTACAAGTAGATCTAGTCTGGCTGAGAAACCGGCCGTTGGTAAACAAACAAGGCTTCACCAGACAGACGCTCCTGACAACAAACCTCCGTCCAAATCTGTCAGACACTTGAGATCTTGTGACTCTGTCGGACGAGCCAAATGTTGTTTAGAGCCTAAAGCCTCTTGTGCTACTGGCTGCTCAGGAAAGCTGGTCTGCAGGATTGATAGTAAAGGTCCGGGAGAGCGTATCACTGGCATAAAGAAACAGATAGTAGGTATATATGAACAATGCTGTTTTGGAAATGTTCTTGTTATGAACTTGTTGGCTTTTCAGTATGGTTTGTGGTGTATGTTTTTGTTGACAGTTTTCTACTGTTTCGTTAGTTTGAAGGTTGGCTATGTTTTTGAGTTGTGTTTGTTACATTACTTGAAGTTTTACTATGACAATACATGTATATGTCTTTTTATACCTGTATCCAACAACTTAACATGTTTAAGAAAGTAAGGCTGATAAATATATCAATTTCAGATTGGACATGTTTAAGAAAGTAAGGCTGATAAAGATATCAATTTCAGATTGGAAGTTTGCAGATGAAAGTTTACATCAATAACGTATGAAATAGTTAAGTATCATTAATAAAAAAGTGAAAGTATACTTAATTCTCAATGTGAAATTAAACATCCTTTTTACTTGTGCGAAATACATTAAATAAAGTGGCAAGATGAAAATTTGTTTTGATGAATAACGATCTTGATCTGGAATAAAATGTTATTTTCCTTCAGCACGAGCTCACCGCAGTACGAGTGTGGACTCCGATGATTTGATCCCTTTAGAACCGTTGGACCTTGTGTGGGCCAAATGTAGAGGCTACCCTTGGTATCCTGCACTGGTAGGTGGTTTTATCCTTGTGTACAGTCAAACCAGCTGTAAATAAAAAATACAATGGGTTGCTGATAAACATAAAAAAAAAAAGATACATTTCTTCATCAGGTTTTTATGTCGAATACATGCATCAACCAGAGTATTTGTGTTTTCTGATCATTTGTTTTTCTTTTCAAAGATCATCAATCCAAAAATGCCGAAGACTGGGTATTTTCACAACGGTGTTCCCATCCCTGTACCTCCTGAGGATGTTCTGCTCCTGCAGCGCAAATATGATGAGCCGGTGTATCTCATTCTGTTCTTTGATACCAAGCGCACATGGTCAGTTTTGATCCTAATTCTCATAAAAACTTCCAGAAAATGCCAAAAAAGTAACTTTAGGTTGTTTGCTCTGTTTTACAGTGTAATTGTGACGTGTGTATGAGTTAATATATGGATGTGATGCCATTTTGTCCAGGTGATGATATTGTAGTGAGATGGAACTTAATAATAGTCCTTGTGGACCAATATGACCTTACCTTTTGCAAAAAAATAATCAAATTCATCCCAGTCTGTTAATGAATACAAACGATACTTTTTAAGAAGCAAATGAATACAAGCAATACCTTTTAAGAAGCAGTCATCTTATAACTTAGACATGTCTGAATGTTGTCAAAGAATGCATGTTTTAACCAAGTGTAAAGTTGTATAAAATACATTTGGTGTGTTTTGTAGAATGTCTTTTAGAAAAGGAGACACATGTCACAATAGTTGGAATTATTTTAAGAACAGTTTAATTCTGTAGTTGATCTTATAAATTGTTTTTAAATCTAGTTGCTTAAAAATGTATAGTTGCATTTTAAGCTGTACAGATTACAGATACTATATTTGAATTTCCTCTAAGAAAGTTTAGTGTAAAGCAAACACTAGTACATGATTTTGATTTAACAGAATATTTTGTAATCCTTTGTATTTGGTTTTAGGCAGTGGCTTCCACGCAACAAGTTGGAACCTCTAGGAGTAGATTCTGGCCTTGACAAAGCCAAGCTGCTGGAAAACAGGAAGCCCAATGTGCGCAAGGCTGTACAGAAGGCCTATGAGAAGGCCATCCTCCATCGGTGCAGTGTGACGGGCGAACCCAACCCACTCTCTGGAGACTCGGACAATGAGGAAATTGCAGAGCTTGCTGAATAGTGCAAACACCAGCTGTCAGAAATTGTTATATTTTTTTATATTCATTCTAAATAGACTGAAAGGATAAAGTCTTCTTGTGTTAATATCTATTACAGGGAATACAAGTCCTGGTAGAAGACTGCTGTTCATCTGATTTAAAGAACAAAGTTATTTTGCCGATAGAAAATTAATCATTAACTGTGCTATTTGTCCATCATTTTCACTTGATGTAGAATTATTCCTATGTGATTTGTGGTAATGAAATGACTGTTAGATTGGAGGTTTATGGCGATGTTAGATGTTGGATGAAAGCTATAGTGTGATGTAAATGTGAAATAAAAGGTTTATATGGTGGTGAGTGTGTTTGATGTAAGGTTGTCCATTTGTTAAACCAATTAAACATTTGGTTGGTAATATAAATACCCTTATGTTGGGTTTATAACTAACTCGGCTATGTTTTAGTTGATGGTAAATCTGGTCCAAGTTACTTTTTCAATTAATTTTGTATTTCTGGAATGTAGTTTTGTGTTGGTGGTGTCTATGTTTGTGTGTATAACTCGGTGCCAGGTGAACTGTAGTGTGGGACCTCTGTGATAAAGACAAACTTGTAAATCCTCTCACGTTGTATTGTTGTTGGGTGACAGATAGATCTAATAGCTACATTGTATCTTTATTGAGCATAAATTATTACGATTTATTTTATGTTACATTGTATTGCAGGGTCTGAAAGTATATTTCAGATAACTGCATCGAAGTTCAGTTTGATTTGTGATAAAATGATGTATTTATTTTGCAATCAGTTGAGAGAGATATAATGAGAGTTCATGTAGAAAATTATCTTTAAAACAAAAATGTCTATTTTCTAGTTAATGATATAATGGCCTACAATACAGAAATTCTAGCTGCTGGTATCGAATAGCTTAAATAAAACAGTTAACTGAATAGTAAGAGTATTATAATATAAGGAACTCGAGAGCAGATTTCAATATACCAACGTAGTATTTGTAATCAGTCCAATGGCAGGCTAATGATAGTTAATCTTGTTCCCACAACCAACATTTTCAGAGCTGAATATTCACACATACCTGCAAAAAAAAAGCAGAAAGTGAAAAAAAAACAGTAATTGAAGGCAAGTTTTAACGTATTATTTTCTCTACATAATTAAAATGAAATTAATTATTTTTTCTGCAAATTGACAGCAAATGTTTTCAGTTTGGCATAACATAAGGTACTGTTTTGTAATGCTGTATAGGTCACAAACTGGTAGCTGTATAATTTTATATGGGAAGGAAATACATTGTTCACATGTAATTTAAGAAAGTAACATTTATTGTCTCAAGGTTGCTTGTTGTTGGAGTTTTCTTGTGTCTTGAATTACTCACAACATCAGGTATCTGTTGTTCAACAAGTCAACATCACAGGTACTGTGAAAGAAATATATTAATGTATCAAGATTTTTATATAGATATTTTGATAAATGAAGTTAATTTCAGAGTTTGATTAATACCAATTTTAAAACTTGAATTAAATTCGGTTTACCAATGAGTTACAGATAAGTCTTGCAGGTGAAATCTTACAAAGGTTTTACTGTCAGTTAAATAGGTGTTTAATAACATTTGTTAGATTTATATGGTGCCAGTGAAGCCATGTTTTATAAGGGTATAGAAACTTGGAGAATTTGCCTGTGTTGTATCTAGTCTTGTTAAAAGTGAACTCTAGCAGTGTTCCATTGTGTCCTTATAATGGTGTTAAAATGTCGTCATACATTTGGCTGGTTGTTTGTTATATTGTGAAAAAGTACTTTACTTAGCAAGTTTCATCTGTTGTGTTCTATTAAACATCTGTTTGTTAGCTAAAGTAATATATATTGATGTACAAGTCCAATAGTTGTCCTTAAAATGTGGCGCAAAAATGTTAAGTATTAGATCCCATCGTTGTCATATAAATACATCTGTATATGGACCATTCATTAGTCATTCGTTGTGAAGAGAAAGTGATCGAGTTTTATGTATAAAACCATATGATTCCTAGTTAGAACTGATCAAAGCCCTTTGTACAACTGTTAACATACTCTGTATAAATACAGTTTGTAAACTCACCACATTTTATTTGTACATAAAAGTATTGTATCAAATATTGAGAAAATTAATAAATACTGTATTATTATTATGATGCGTTTTCCTGTTTTCTGTAGAAGCTGTTAGCATTCCACTGATGTATTTCTTCAGTAAAAATGGCAATGAAACCTAATCAACACAATGCTATGTTAACATGACAATTTGTCGGGTCATTGTCTTTCAACATAACTTGCGGAACTAACCTAGCTTACCGACTTGACACCCTTTTTTTTTAACGCTGGCGTCCACAATGTTACAAACAAGGCAGTATAATGTTATCGATGTAGATTACAATGGACCTTGACATACAAACCAGGATAACCTGTACATGGATGCTGATTAAAGATGCTTAATTTTACATTTTATCTACAATACACATACTGAAGATAACCCACCTTTGTGGCTTGATACTGAGACAAAGCTTATGACTTTGAAGTGAAGCTTTAACTGACATCTGTCTTGTGCAACATGATTTTAATTACATTTTTGATATAAAATATCAAGTCGCTGAGACACAAAGTATACATGAGAGAAGTGCCCGTGCTTCGCTAGACCGCTTACTTTGTTCCCGACCCTTGATGTCCATCAATTATAGTCCGACCCCGGTTTCATAAACGTTCCTTAACCTTTTTCGGTATTCTCAGCCTTAAAAACACTTACGATTGAATTAAGTTGGGGAAGACTCGTGTAACGTGCTTTGTATGTTAATTTGTGGGGTTTGCGTCCTCGCATAGATAATGTCTTCAAGTTCAGGAATCTCATCAAAATTTTTAAAAAAATGTCAATTTAAAGAGCTAATTGTAAACATACGTGAAATCGAGGCTAAGTTTCACTGAATGAGTGAACAGCAGATACGTTATCTGTAGCGCAAAGTCGGGGTTAACAGAGTGTGTACAGTAGTGAAAGGTCCTTGGTGTGAGACATCGACTCACATGACACTGACTGGCCGCCAAACCGGACCACATTTCTGACCAAAGGACAACTGAGGGGTGAAGATGGACCCCGAGATCTCGGGGAGTGGCACACTGAGCGAGGAAGAAACGCTAGGTGCTACGGGCAGGTAAATTATTGATAATCTGTGTTACTAACTATACTATCTTGAAACTTTGCTAAACTGTTTCAATTTTATTAAATACTGATTGAAGGTGTTGAAAAGGGAATTAGGTTTGAGGATACCCCTGATCCGTCGATGGCGGATGGAAGGCTGTCCTTGCCACAGATATATATCACAATTCCAGTATCAATGGCTTCCCAACACGGTGTCGCATTCCGGCAAAAACCTGTTCGATCACCTGGAAAACATTCCACCCAAACCACAAGCGTTATTCATCTGCATTTTTCACCAAAGCGCATCCGTTCTTTATCACTAAAAGATAAAGCACAGGAATAGTAAAACGTTATAATGTGCAAAAATGTATCCGCCCAATTTTGTACCAAAACCGCTAAAATTTAGGCGACACCACAATATCCCCAAGTACGTACAGTATCATAAGAAGCGGGTCACTGCGATCACCCCAGTATAGATCCCGTCGTTAGTATTCACTCTCATTTAATCAAGCTGATGCTCTCGAATTTTGTTGAATTTTGTACAGATTGTACTTTTCTAACGATTGTAGAAATTCGTATGTGATTTGCGAGTACAAACAAGAACTTCATGTGAAATGATAGACGAATTAAATCTGGTATTCAATGTTTGTATCTTAGCTCGGCTTCCTAGAGTAATACCGTAGTCAGCAGTTAAAACATCGTATTAGCAAACTGACCTACAGGGAGATAAACATTGACGTCAACTCTAGTCCCTAACCCAACTCCCCTAACCGCTACATTTATACCGTATCTAGTCAGTAAACATCCTAATGCTCTCATACTAGGAAGTGACCTTGAACGTAAACCAAAAATCCATCCAACTCCATTTGGTTTAGCTTCTATTTTTTAGATTGCTTTAATGTCGCCGCCCATTTCGAGATTGTGTTAGTGGTCGACAGCACGTGAACTCCTGGGGAAACTTGAATTACGCATTCAGAAATAACGCACGTAATTAAACACTTTTAATCTGATTCATATCCGGAATATTTTTTAATTGCTCCATTTTTTTCTCTTAAATGTTCTTGATCCTCTGCAGGTGTTGGAATTTAATATCTGTTTGATAGTCCAAAACAAAATATAGACTGCATATGAAATATTTCACTAAAGCATAAGGGCCCGTATGCGTCATGATAAGATATTCGTCGACAATACTTTAAGTACTCTTTTTTTTTTTTACCTCAGTGATAGTCCCTCCCTTACCTCCCTCCCTTACCTCAGTGATAGTCCCTCCCTTACCTCAGTAATAGTCCCTCCCTTACCTCAGTAGATAGTCCCTCCCTTACCTCAGTAGATCGTCCCTCCCTCACCTCAGTACATAGTCCCTCCCTTACCTCAGTAGATAGTCCCTCCCTCACCTCAGTAGATAGTCCCTCCCTTACCTCAGTAGATAGTCCCTCCCTCACCTGAGTAGATAGTCCCTCCTTTACCTCAGTAGATAGTACCTCCCTTACCTCGATAGATTAACCCCTCACCTCAGTAGATAGTCCCTCCCTCACCTCAGTAGATCATTCCTCCTTTACCTCAGTAGATAGTTCCTCCCTTTCCTCGATAGATAAACTCTCCCATTCCTCAGTAGATAGCCCTTCCCTTACCTCAGTAGACAGTCCCTCCCTTACCTCAGTAGATAGTTCCTCCATTACCTCAGTAGATAGCCCCTCCCTTACCTCAGTAGATAGTCCCTCCATTACCTCAGTAGATAGCCCCCCCCCTCCCATACCTCAGTAGATAGCCCCTCCCTCACCTCAGTAGATCATTCCTCCTTTACCTCAGTAGATAGTACCTCCCTTACCTCGATAGATTAACCCCTCACCTCAGTAGATAGTCCCTCCCTCACCTCAGTAGATAGTCCCTCCCTTACCTCAGTAGATAGTCCCTCCATTACCTCAGTAGATAGCCCCCCTCCCATACCTCAGTAGATAGCCCCTCCCTAACCTCAGTAGATAGTCCCTCTTCCTACCCTCAGTCCCTCGCTTACCTCAGTAGATAGTCCCTCCATTACCTCAGTAGATAGCCCCCCTCCCATCCCTCAGTAGATAGCCCCTCCCTCACCTCAGTAGATCATTCCTCCTTTACCTCAGTAGATAGTACATCCCTTACCTCGATAGATAAAATCTCCCATACCTCAGTAGATAGCCCCCCCCCATTACCTCAGTAGATAGCCCCCCTCCATTACCTCAGTAGATAGCCCCCCTCCCTTACCTCAGTAGATAGCCCCCCTCCCTTACCTCAGTAGATAAATCCTCCCTTTCCATCCCCTCCCTGATGTCTACCCTTAGAGTGTCGTTCCCATTGGACCTGTTGTCTTGCTCTGACGTTATTCTGGACACCGAAAAATGTTTACTTCTTTATTTACCCGATTTGTTGCGTCATAGGCCAAAAGAGGGGATGAGACTTGGTTGGAGGTGCGGACACGCCCTCTTCTCAACTTTTTTAGCCATCGAACTTTTATAAAACAAATGACAAGCTTGGTGTTCAGCGTAATATGACTCCCACTTTATCATGGTATGACAGAATCAATTTCTAATTCTTATATGATTGATTTAAGTGCGTAAAGCATATCTTTTTCAAAATACATAAAATATAGCACAGAGTGTCTACATTTCTGTTTCGTTCTTGAGGTACGCCTCAATGCACAATTTTTAAAGTATTATAGATTATTGTTCATAATTTCTATTTCTATTGGTCAAGAATGTTAAAAATGGAAAAAAAATGTTCTTAAAACTGGATTAAATTGAAAAGCTAATTTCAACTTTAAAGTGCCCAAGATCGCTTCTAAATTCTTTTTTCCGGTCTTGGTGAGAAAAGGGGCATCCCTCGGAGCGTAGAATTGAACCTCATTTATAGAATTCCTTGATCCGCCCTTTTTACCACAACCAATAATAAAACGCTAACGGCTAGTTACTTCACTGTTACTGTAACCTCAACTGTTTCGTTTGTGTTGTCCCGACACAAGTGTTGCCTCACTGTTACTATAACCACGGAATGAGATTAGTCCGTACTATAACCTCAACCGTGTGTGTTGTCCCGACACTAGAGTTACCTCACTGTTACTATAACATCAACCGTTTGTGTTGTCCCGACACTAGAGTTACCTCACTGTTACTATAACCTCACCCGTTTGTGTTGCCGACAATAGAGTTACCTCACTGTAACTATCACACAAACCGTTTGTGTTGTCCCGACACTAGAGTAACTTCACTGTTACTATAACATCAACCGTTTCGTTAGTGTTGCCCCGACGCTAGTTTTGCCTCACTGTTAGTATAACCTCAACCGTTTGTGTTGTCCCGACACTAGAGTTACCTCACTGTTAGTATAACCTCGACCGTTTGTGTTGTCCCGACACTAGAGTTACCTCACTGTTACTATAACATCAACCGTTTGTGTTGTCCCGACGTTAGTGTTACCTCACTGTTACTAAAACCTCAACCGTTTGTGTTGTCCCGACGTTAGTGTTACCTCACTGTTACTAAAACCTCAACCGTTTGTGTTGTCCCGACACTAGAGTTACCTCACTGTTACTATAACATCAACCGTTTGTGTTGTCCCGACGTTAGAGTTACCTCACTGTTACTATAAAATCAACCGTTTGTGTTGTCCCGACACTAGAGTTACCTCACTGTTACTATAACATCAACCGTTTGTGTTGTCCCGATACTAGAGTTACCTTACTGTTACTTTAACATCAACCGTTTGTGCTGTCCCGACACTAGAGTTACCTCACTGTTACTATAATATCAACCGTGTGTGTTGGCCCGACGCTAGTGTTGCCTCACTGTTAGTATAACCACAACCGTTTGTTTGTGTTGTTCCGACGCTAGTGTTGCCTCACTGTTACTATAACATCAACCGTTTGTGATGTCCCGACACCAGTGTTACCTCACTGTTACTATAACATCAACCGTGTGTGTTGTCCCGACGCTAGTGTTACCTCACTGTTACTCTAACATCAACCGTTTGTGATGTCCCGACACAACTGTTACCTCACTGTTACTATAACATCAACCGTTTGTGATGTCCCGACCCAACTGTTACCTCACTGTTACTATAACATAAACCGTTTGTGTTGTCCCGACACAACTGTTACCTCACTGTTACTATAACATTAACCGTTTGTGTTGTCCCGACACCAGAGTAACTTCACTGTTACTATAACATCAACCATTTGTGTTGTCCCGACACTAGAGATACCTCACTGTTACTATAACATCCATCGTTTGTGTTGTCCCGACACTACAGTTACCTCACTGCAACTATAACATCAACCGTGTGTGTTGCCCCGACACTAGTGTTACCTCACTGTTACTATAACATAAACCGTTTGTGTTGTCCCGACACCAGAGTAACTTCACTGTTACTATAACATCAACCTTGTGTGTTGTCCCGACACTAGAGTCACCTCACAGTTAATATAACATCAACCGTTTGTGTGGTCCCGACACTAGAGTTACCTCACAGTTAACACAACATCAACCGTTTGTGTTGTACCGACACTAGAGTTACCTCACTGTAACTATAACATCAACCGTGTGTGTTGTCGCGACACTAGTGTTACCTCACTGTTACTATAACTTCAACCGTTTGTGTTGTCCCTACACTAGTGTTACCTCACTGTTACTATACCATCAACCGTGTGTGTTGTCCCGGCGCTAGTGTTACCTCACTGTTACTCTCACATCAACCGTTTGTGATGTCCCGACACTAGAGTTACCTCACTGTTACTATAACCTCGACCGTTTGTGTTGTCCCGACACTAGAGTTACCTCACAGTTAATATAACATCAACCGTTTGTGTTGTCCCGACACTAGAGTTACCTCACTGTTAATATAACATCAACCGTTTGTGTGGTCCCGACACTAGAGTTACCTCCCAGTTAATATAACATCAACCGTTTGTGTTGTCCCTACACTAGTGTTACCTCACTGTTACTCTAACATCAACCGTTTGTGATGTCCCGACACAACTGTTACCTCACTGTTACTATAACCTCAACCGTTTGTGTTGTCCCGACACTAGAGTTACCTCACTGTTACTATAACATCAACCGTTTTTGTTGTCCCGATACTAGAGTTACCTTACTGTTACTATAACATCAACCGTTTGTGCTGTCCCGACACTAGAGTTACCTCACTGTTACTATAATTTCAACCGTGTGTGTTGCCCCGACGCTAGTGTTGCCTCACTGTTAGTATAACCACAACCGTTTGTTTGTGTCGTTCCGACGCTAGTGTTTCCTCACTGTTACTATAACATCAACCGTTTCGTTTGTGTTGCCCCGACGCTAGAGTTGCCTCACTGTTACTATAACATTAACCGTTTCGTTTGTGTTGTCCCGACGCTAGTGTTACCTCACTGTTACTATAACCTCAACCGTTTGTGTTGTCCCGACGCTAGTGTTCCCTCACTGTTACTATAACATCAACCGTTTGTGTTGTCCCTACACTAGTGTTACCTCACTGTTACTATAACATCAACCGTTTCGTTTGTGTTGTCCCGACGCTAGAGTTGCCTCACTGTTACTATAACATTAACCGTTTCGTTTGTGTTGTCCCGACGCTAGTGTTGCCTCACTGTTACTATAACATCAACCGTTTGTGTTGTCCCGACGCTAGGGTTACCTCACTGTTACTATAACATCAACCGTGTGTGTTGTCCCGACGCTAGTGTTACCTCACTGTTACTATAACATCATCCGTTTGTGTTGTCCCGATATTAGAGTTACCTCACTGTTACTATAACCTCACCCGTTTGTGTTGCCGACACTAGAGTTACCTCACTGTTACTATAACCTCACCCGTTTGTGTTGCCGACACTAGAGTTACCTCACTGTTACTATAACCTCGACCGTTTGTGTTGTCCCGACACTAGAGTTACCTCACTGTTACTATAATCTCGACCGTTTGTGTTGTCCCGACACTAGAGTTACCTTACTGTTACTATAACATCAACCGTTTGTGTTGTCCCGATATTAGAGTTACCTTACTGTTACTATAACATCAACCGTTTGTGTTGTCCCTACCCTAGTGTTACCTCACTGTTACTATAACATCAACCGTTTGTTTTGTCCCGATATTAGAGTTACCTTACTGTTACTATAACGTCAACCGTGTGTGTTGTCCCGATATTAGAGTTACCTCACTGTTACTATAACATCAACCGTTTGTGTTGCCGACAATAGAGTTACCTCACTGTAACTATCACACAAACCGTTTGTGTTGTCCTGACACTAGAGTAACCTCACTGTTACTATAACACCAACCGTTTGTGTTGTCCTGACACTAGAGTAACCTCAAAATCCAAGATGGTGGCCTATCGGCCATTTTGTTTATCTGATCAGTCTCAAAATTAAACATGCACAACTACAGACCTAGGGGGGCCTACATAACAAACTTAGGAAAGATCCCTCCAGTTCTTCCAGAGAAAAAGTGATAACAAACCTTCACTGTCACAATCCAAGATAGTGGCCTATCGGCCATTTTCTATACCTTATCAGTCCCAAAAATTAACCTGCACAACAATAGACCAAGGGGAACCTACATATAAGATTTAAGAAAGATCCCTCTGGTACTTCCTGAGAAATAGTGATAACAAGAATTGTTTAAGGACGGACCACGGACGCAGGGCGATTTGAATGATGATGGCGGGCTAAAAAACAAAACTTAACAAAATTAGATGGCATACTATATAATACAGTTTATTACATAACATAATTTCTTGTACTATATAACAAACTTTCAATATCAAGCTAAAATTGACCCCATAAGTGTAAAGTATTCTCACCGAATTTCCGCCGAACTTATCAGTAATGTTTTGATCAGCTTGATGACGTCATTATGCCGCTATTCGATTCCCCCTGATTATCGTTAATTAACGGCCACTGACGTCAGTTAGATGAAAAAGATTATGGATTTTTACTCAAATGAAAATATCATCTTTTAAATGATACTTGGTTTTAAATTGATTCTGAATTAAAGCCGATGTTCAACATTCCACGTAATATACTTATCTTCATTTTAGCCTTTTCCACAAAGCATTCGAGACTTTATCTCCTAATTAAATATCTCAGCTGTTTTATAGCGTAGCGTGTTTAGTTTTTCTGGCGGGAAATGCTTTAAATTCTTTGGTCGAAGCACGGGCATTGGGAAAACATAATTCAGCGCATAGAATTTCTCTAAATCAACATTCATAAAATCGATCGAGGTTGTTTTGTCAAAACATTGTGATATGTTTTTATATCCATTACTTAATTAATGCATGAAAAAATAAACAAGATAAATAAGTCAAGAAGGAAGTTTGGAATGGTGTTACCGTTGACCGGTTGATGTTAGAAAAACGAAGTAATATATGGGGAATATCGACTTTTTTTTAAAACTATAATCGTGACATATACAAGGAAAAATTAATGTTTTTTTTTATTACTAAATCGCTGTGTACGATTTAGGCTGATAATTTAATTGAAGTGTTGTTTTTTCTTTATTAAATACAATATGCATCATCGTGGTACCACGGAATTAGAATGTTATCCAAGTCCGTGGTGGTACGAATAATTTTAACACAAAATTAGACTAGCTGTACGTCTGTAGCATTTAACGAGGTATAAATGTAAAATAGGTATATGAACTACCATAAGTTCTGACTGTAATATTTGAATTTACGACAATATTGGTCAATCTATGAGCCCTACAGTATACCAAAATTGTCTTTGGAGGACGGCTTATAGCAGATCTTGAATTCTAATAGAATTAGAAATGCTGGCTATAGCTGATCCTATCAATTTACAGTATCAGAAATTAACGTATTTACCAATATATTACATCTAGACATTTTTAAGGACACTGAAACAAAACAAAAAACATCAGTGCAGTTATATATATATAAATTTCGACTGAATGTACATAATGTAGACAGACTCACATGCCTGACATGGATGGAAGACTGGTTTTCCGTCTCCCCGGTTACAATAATTTTAAATATATTGACAACTCAAATGAAACTTATAAGAATTACTGACATTTTAACTTTGATAAATTATGTAATTTTGAAACTGATAGTGCGTGCAAAATTTAGGCAAAAAACTCGCATCTTCAATACATAAACAATGATTCCTCCCAACACGCATCCGGGTACCTGTTATCCTCTCAGTAATATAGCATACATACGGGGTTTTCTGACGTCATACCATACCGCGTGGGGAGGTAGCCATTATTCTGGATTTTAGGTATTATCCGGTGCAATGAAATTTGAAAAATATCGTTAATTTACAGCAAATATTGCAAAACGATTATTGTTGCGTGTATGTATAATGTTTCAATTTTATTATTTGCAGGTTAAACATTCGCGACATGATGGAATATCCAGAAAACATGGCTTTGCGGCGACCATTCGATCCTGCTGCACATGAACTGGATCCTAGTTTCCGACTTACAAAATTTGCTGACCTAAAGGGATGAGGGTGTAAGGTCCCTCAAGAAGCCCTAGAGCGGCTCCTTGAGGGACTACAACAGGACAGCAATGCCCAAGTCGCGGATCAGTCGCAATTTCAATATCTTGCGGCCACCCCACGAATAGGTATATTTAATTTTTGATAAATAAAATATTTATTCGGAAACGAGATAGTCAACAGGTTGTTTCGTTTCCGACAAATGTATTTAATCTATATTCTAACAAATAGTGCGTTGTGAATGATTCTTTTTGCATGATATGATATAAAAAATAACAATGTTGGTATGTGATAACATTGTAGTATGAAACATACAATTTTATTGTGCTTATTATGCCAGAATTTACTTTCCCTATCGTGTCCCTGATATTCAAAATGGCGTCTGTTGTTGGTGTGGCCGAGTGTAAACTATGACACGTGACTCCGGAAACTGATGTTAAACCCGGCTAAAAAGCGCGGGAATTACCATGATAAATTTTAATTAAAGCCTAATTAAATAATTTTTAAATATGCAACTATATACAGCTAAAAAAATAAGTAAATGCAGAATATTCACTTTTGATTGATTTTTCATACAGGGAAATTGTATGCATCAACATTCAATTATCAGACTTTTAACCATATTTTTATTTTATTTTAAAGATTTTACTTTATTCATAAAATAGATATTGACATTATAAGGCATTATGAACATAAATGTATTGATCACATTTTCTTTTTGTTTTGGTTGTATTTTCAAAGCAAATTTAATTGATTAACATAATATTAGTCAGTTTTGACCCTTCAGATGTTGTATATTTTGCATTTAAGTAGATCAATCTATTTCTCCACAGCGTTTGGTTCATAAAAGGTCTAGTTTACTTAAAATGTTCAATAAAGTGCATTGCAAGGTAATGACAGCAGGGATGTCGTGAATTTCATATTTGGAATACTAGCCCCAGTTTGATTTTTAAAAAGTTCAACTTGCCTCACCAGTCAGTCACCTATATCGTACATTTTGAAAAAAAAATCACCAGCCAAAAAATGTTGGGAGTACCATCAAGGTCCAGATATCGCAGTGTAACAATTGTGTAGTATCAACTCTCGAGGGTGAATTTTCCCTAAATAAAATCTTTGTGCACTTCTGTTTCTCATAAATGTGTTCAATAATGTCTTCAGTCTGAATAATTCCCATCATTTGATTTATCTTAAATTGTCACAGCAGGGAGGATTGGTTATATATGTATTAACAGGAAAGGGAACAATGTTCCTCCATCTGGGATTAAACCATCGATTTCCATGTTCCTAGTCGGACGCTCTACCACTTAGCTAAAGAGAAATTCCCTCTAGCTCGAAGAGCTCTAGAAGGCGAACGTTATCCTTTGTATCCGTTGTACAATTAAGATCTGCCACATATATATATGTCCTGTGAATATGAGTTTATTTAATTGACAGCTAGCTTCTTGTGATGTTTATTTTGCAGGCATTGGGATGGATGCCTCTGTCACACCACTAAGACATGGAGGACTCTCTCTTGTCCAGACCACTGATTTCTTTTATCCTCTTGTTGATGACCCATATATGCAGGTGAATACAGATACATGTTACATACACAATGTTTTACTGAAAATAAATTAATTTCATCCATAGAAGTAAACACTTTTTTCCCTATTTCAAGATAGTGAAATGTCTGTTCAGCAGGGATATTTGGATTTTGCTTATTTTATGATATGACACTTCCAACGTAAAATTTGTGCTTTAGAATTAGATAACCTTGTGCTTCAGATAGATTGCTAAGGAATGAATGGTCTTGCTTTATTTCATTTGTTAAAAAATAAGTCAACTTGGTATTATTTAATACAAGAAGTTATTTAATTATTATTAATATTTGGTTATAGCTAACCATCATTGACTGATAATTTGTACTTTGTGGATAGTCAACATGATGAATAGACAACATGTTTTCGAGATTCCATAATCCAAGTCTTGAAGATGGCCACCAAGACGTCCTGATTAAACGAAACATTGCACACTATAACCTTTGTTCTGCTAGACAAGGTGATGAGTATAACTGCTATATGTCAGGTTACATGTAATGGCATATTGCAGTATATTGGTACAGTGTAGTATATTCTGAAATCCAATTTGATCATATGATGTGACCCTTGCTGCCCTGTTGGTGTATAGTCTGTATGTATTGAAGTGATGTTTGTCAGTAGGAAATTAATAACATAGTTGATACTATGAGATATTGAGAAATAACCAAGTCTTTAAAATCAAACTTCAAAAATTAAATTTACAATTACTTATGGTACAGTAAGAAATGTTTTACATACATTTTACAGGGCAAGATCGCCTGTGCTAATGTACTGAGTGACCTGTATGCCATGGGAGTGACAGACTGTGACAACATGCTGATGTTACTAGCAGTCAGCAACAAAATGACAGAGAAAGAGCGTGATGTTGTCATTCCGATGATGATGAGAGGATTTAAGGTTTGTTGAGTAAACACTAGGGTGTAAAGGTTACATGATATCTTTGAGAATTAAACAAAATATTGCATCACTGAGATTTTTTTTAAATTGCAGTTGTAGCAGTCAAAATGTCTACTTATTTGATCAATATCTGAGTTTCAAATTTTTTGGTTTGGGTTGTTAGTGTGTTCTTTGTACTGTATTTGTTAAAAGGGGCATAACTCTTCATATTGAATGCTTTACCTAGCCTGTGCTGAACATTTTTCATGATAATGCCAAAATGAGTCCGATCTTATAAAAATCACTTGTACTGTATTATGAAATTAAGAACTTGGACATTCATGCCTCAAGTTTCAAATGTGGTATTCTAGGTAATAACCTGTTATCACAGACTGACTAAAATTGATGTCATTGTATTATTTGACTAAATGAACATCTGGGTCATAATATATTTCTGACATAATTATTATATTGTCAACATGTTTTAGTTTGATACATTATGTAGAGATAATTATTATATTGTCAACATAGTTAAGTTTATTATGTAGAGATTCACATTAAATGTAAAACAAAAGATTGAACACCAGAAATCTTTAAAGTACTGTACTATTTTATATTTGCACTGAAACACAGTTCTATGTGAACCCTGTCAGTACTTTGGCTTAAGAGCTGTGTACTATGGTTACATGTACTATAATTACAAGATGGTGAATATATAAATGGTAAATATAACAGTATTAGTTTGGGGAAAATGTGACCATTATTATGTCATATAATGATGCAAGGTGAATGTTGATGAAGAAGATTATTTGCCTTTATATTTTGAGCTGTTTTTGGCCATACAACTGCAATTCCTTGCAATTTCTTAATGTAAAGGTAAAGATCATTGACTCGTAAGCTTACAAGGAGCCATAGCTTGATGACTAGGAAAGTCTGATTATAACTTACTCAATAATCAGCATCTGTATCTACTGTTTGGTATGTGTAGTGAAAGTGATGTTACATTTACTGGGTTTAATTCTATAATGCTGTTCACAAGTATAAGTATCCTTGTAGGATTTAGCAGAGGAAGCCGGGAGTGGAGTGACAGGTGGCCAAACAGTGCTGAACCCCTGGTGCATCATTGGTGGGGTAGCCACCTCTGTCTGTCAACCCAACGAGTTCATCACGTCTGTACAATATGTTAAAATCGGTGAAGCGTGTAAATTAGGAAATGATGTAGCAGGAGATAACTTGTAACTAAGTCTAAATGATTATTGAAGAATGTAGAAAATATTTGTTTGAGGAGCTCTGTATACCTGGTACCAATGTAATAACACAACTAAGTTATCATCTTCCTTGATAATAACCATGTTTTCCCTAAAGGAATGTTGAATCCTTATTTTTCAAAAAAGATACATTAATAAAAATATCTCAGACTTTTTCTCTTTTCTCCTTCTAAAAAATTAATTTCATGAAGGAAATTGCAGATTATAAAAAAATAAAAGTAATTTCCAATCTTTCAAATTTGTTCTCAGTTGAAACGAAAAAGTGAGGAAAAAATGTAGTTGTTGAATGTGAACCACTTTTCACCAGTGTAGATACTGATTGTTTCCTATGAATCACACATTGGATGTGTGATTCGTTGTTAAGTGTACTTTAGAGATATTTAGATTTTCCTTGGCCGAGTGTCATGAGAATTAGGGGACACTTTAAACAATTGTATTTTCTGTTGACCTGTATGACCTTGATGTGACAGACCAGACAATGCCTTGGTGGGTGATGTCCTAGTGCTAACCAAACCTCTGGGAACACAGGTGGCGGTGAATGCCTATCAGTGGCTGGACCAGCCGGAGAGATGGAATCGTGTCAAACTGGTGGTGACGGAAGATGACGTGAGGAAGGCTTATCAACGGGCTATGTTCAGTATGGCCAGACTTAACCGTACAGGTATACGTATACATAGGTTTTCTATGAATAGACTTAACAGACTAAGGGCAAGAACTCCATTTTCAAACACACTGGTCCTTTCTGTCGGTGATTTTGAAAGTGTACTTGCCCAAAGTTGTTATAAACTGGTTCCTAAATTGTCATACATGTGTAAATGAAAATTTCATGGATACGATTCTATTATACATTGATTACTTTTAACAGTATTAACACTAATTTTCCTGTTAGTTGTGTTTATTGATTAATAATGAAAGAATATGTCATGAAATAACTAATATTTAACAGATCTGACATGTTGCAATAGTCCATCAGGCAAGTCGAGGCAAATACAAAGTCTGTTAGACCAGGGGATTTGTTATTGATGATAGATTTACCCCTGTTTAGTGTGACAAGACCAATCTGTACAGGTGCAAGTATCAGTTCTAGGAATTAATAGGATTAGTGGATTAGTCACTTGTCGTTAATGTGACTAAATTGACCATTGACAATAACAGCTGCTGTGCTTTCAAACTCTTCTATTTAAAACTGTAACATATAAAAATACCCATTAAAATAAGTAAGAACTTGATTGTTCCTTTACAAAGAGGATACAATTCAAGTTTGTTGGAAGAAGAGTCATAAAATGACCCAAGGCCAGGTTTGTTAGACCCAAGGCCAGGTTTGTAAGACCCAAGGCCCAGGTTTGTTTGACCCAAGGCCAGGTTTGTTAGACCCAAGGCCAGGTTTGTTAGACCCAAGGCCAGGTTTAAAACATTTGAAAATCTGATGAATCACAAAAAATTACTTGGCTGTGGGTCCTCAATTTTTTTTCCCTAGACTTCAATAATTATACCTGCCTCTCTATCCTCCTCCTCCCCCCCATAATGGCCATATGTTTAAGTCCGTCAAATGGAAAGTATATCTATTTACTAGTACATGTACAGATTCATCTGGTTCTGCATGTTTGTCTATTGTCCTTATATCCGGGAGGGACATCATAATACCCAAAAAGTTATTAGTAGAATATTAGGCCCGCAATTTCAGTACTTTAGGGGTAATAAAACTCTGTAATTTTGTCCTGAAGAAGATCGCTAATGTGTCAAAACCGGTCAACGAACACAAACTGACGAAACCTACTCTGATGCTGTGGTGATTGATACCCTTACCTAATCCCACTCTACTACTCAATCACCCTGCATACTCCGGGTATCCAGTTTAAGGGTAAAGGACCCCCAGATCCAAACAAATGGCATTGGCTCTACTCCCTGCACCTCTCATTGTCCTAATATTGTAACAACTTGTCTGGGCCGTCAGTTTTAAACTGTTCAAGATATCTTAATGATATGTAAAGGATACCTGCATCACTCACAAAAACAGTCGCCCCAAAGTCAAAAGTCAGGGAGTTGAAAACAGGGAGTTGAAAACATTTTTCAGTAATTCTGCTGTTAATATATATTTTAAATATTTTAATGAAACTATAAGTATATCTGCATCTTTCATGGACAGTGTTTAGTGCACTGTAATTAGGTCACAGCTTACCTTTATCTAAAGGGAAAAACCCTAATTTATCCTTAATTATCAGTGAAATCTTGTCCAGGCTATAACTTTCTAATTGTTGATGATATTGATATCACTGACTAGGACCTTTACCTGGTTAACTTTCTAACTGTTGATGATACTGATATCACTGACTATGACCTTTACCTGGTTAACACTTCTATTTTGAAGCGGCCCGTCTGATGGCTAAGTACAACGCTCATGGTGCCACGGATGTGACAGGATTTGGTCTACTTGGCCATGCAAAGAACCTTGCCAAAGTACAGAAGAACGAAGTCAGCTTCGTGATACACAATCTGCCTATCATCGCTAAAATGGCTGCCATCAGCAAAGCTTGTGGAAATATGTTTGGCCTACTGCAAGGTCTTTCTGCAGAAACTTCAGGTATGGCTTACTGACTGCAGTTCTTTAATTTGACGGCAGTATTATGGTATGGGGTTGTCCGTCCGTTCGTCTGGCCTAAACTTTTGTTTGTCCGGCAATCTCCTCCTACATTTTTCGACTGATCTCTTTGAAACTTGGTATACATTATAATCATGATATGAAGTTGTGTCTCCCTTAAAAGAATTTTGAATCAACAATTTTTCCAAAAGTTATTGGCCTTTGTTCATTTCAGTATTTGATTTTTTGTCCGTAGATCCCTTTGTTCATTTCAGTATTTGATTTTTTGTCGGCAGATCTCCTTCTACATTTTTTGACAGATTTCTTTGAAACCTAGTAGGCTAAATAATCACGATATGAAGTTGTGTCCCCCTTTAAAGAATTTTGATTCAACAATATTTGTAAAAGTTATTGCCCTTTGTTCATTTCAGTAACAATAACACTATATGGCATTCAATGGCCGTATATTGTTCCGTCCCCTGGTACTCTTGTTAAAACTTGTTATTGGTTAATCAGTATTGTTTGGATGTATTTGCCAATAAGTAGATGGGTACATCACAAATTTATATTATCACCACAATCTGAGAATGGTTTTCCATAAAAGCCGAGCCTTAGAGACACTTCCTGTCAATTTAAGGCTAGGTGCATGATATAACTGAAGTTATCTCCCTTATATAATATTACTTCAGTGTTATCAGAATACAGCATAAATTGATTAATAAATTTAAATTAACCATTCGCTTTGACCCATTTTGCTGTCCAATATATTGCAGGCGGTCTATTGATGGCCTTACCCAGAGAGCAGGCTGCAGCCTTCTGTAAGGACATAGAGAAACAGGAAGGCTACCAGTCCTGGATTATAGGAATCGTAGAAAAAGGAAATCGTACAGCTAGGATTATTGACAAACCACGGGTGATTGAAGTGCCAGCTAAAGACCGTGATGGAGAACTGTGGTAGTAAAGAAAATGCATTTTAATTTAGATCTCCTCCAGAACTTTAAGGAAGGAACACACTGCAATTCTGACATTTGTCAACTGAAGGACATTCCAAGTTGTTACATTTTCTTGTGTATTGCCTCGTCTACAAGGTTTTTAATGAAAAGTTGTTGATAAATCCTTTCATTTGAAACCAGTTTTTAGATCATGTTTGTAAATGAAGATCTACAATTTTAAGTGACTTTCAAGAGTTTAAAATAGACATTAATCACCTATTAAGGTGACAAGATTCAAATCCTTTGTGAAAATTATGGATAAAATTTACTTTATGCATATTATGCACAAGGCTATTTGAAAATTAGCTAGATTTGAAAAATCGGATGCATCATTGTTCTTGTCTTTTGCTATGTTTATTATCATTGTTTCATTTCTGGGAATACTGTTAACTTGTCACCTGTGAGTTTACGTGTATGAAGTTGTCCTGAAGAACCAAAGTATTTTGGGTCAGGGCAGTAGATGAATTTGTAAGCCCACAGGTGCCAAGTTACCATGACCTGTGGAGCCGTTGTCATGACGTACTTATACGATATTGAGGGTGACTACGGCTTCAGCCACCAAACTCATTGTATAGTTTTCATCAATTTGTGTCAAAAACAACATCATTCATCATGTCATCACACCCGTGAAGAATAAACTAACTTCAAGTATTGTATATTGTCTCCATTGTTTGTGATAGCTAACTTAAGACAAGTTCCCATTGAGAATGATAGCAAACTTGATAAGGACATGGTGAGCTTGTGAGGTAGTTTGACATCTGTCCATTAACGATTTCTTCAAATGACTCCTTTGAACCAGTGATTGGAATTTAACAAAATTTGACTGAAAGCATCCCTATGTCTTGAGATTCAAAAATGTCACAAATAGGGGGATCCGAGTGTATGGCCAAAAATGGCAATTGGGCCATATTTCTTTGCGACTTCTTTTCTGGAACTAAGAGATTGATATCAACCATATTTGGAACAAAGAGATTTATATCAACTGAATTGGTTGGAAGCATTCTCAGTCAGTGGGGATTCAATATTGAGACTGACCCACTTAGAGGTGGGACCAAAAAGAGGTTACAACTTGGAAATGGTTGAGATCTCCATCCTGTAACTATATATACAATTGCTTAGTATAAAAGTATATAGACTGTATATCTGCTACCTTGATGGTCCCACCCTTGGAAACATGATCCCTGGGTGATAATATTGAATCACTAAGTACAATTCCTGGGTATAAAGAGGCAAACATATTCATGATTGTAGAATTGACTTTGGGGTCTGGTTTCTGTGTGAAAATTTGTAAAAACAGCTCCCCACCTCTTAATCAGATATACTACTGCTGGGTTAGGAGATGTGAACACCATACATGCTACCATAGTTTGGTCTGGGGTCTGCCCATACTCTTGGGGACTTTATCCAGGAGCCATAACATGGAGAAATTTGAAATCCCAAGCTTATAACAGCATAATCAATCACTTAGCATTAAGATCTCTATAAACATGTGGTACTAGGAACGGTCCTTTCTCCAGGAGCTTACTGCTTTAGTGAGAATATATTGACATTATTGTTTGAATATCCAGCTGAACTGTTGCACTGATTTGATCTTTGAGTTCAAGATCAGAATAACCTTAATACAGTTCACTGCACACCTTCAGTAAGTTATGCAGATGTCATCCAAATTCACGAGATACCTGTCATGGTTTAAAAGCTACAGTCCTCAAAAGATTTTACTGAAATTTTGTGCTCTTTGACCTAAGGGTGAACTTGAAGGTTACGGTGAGCTTATTGTGCAGTGCACACAACCTGGGAGTAATACAGGTATACTTCAAGTTTCATCTGAATATCTATATAAACAGTTTAAAAGTTATGTCCTGAACAACGTTTCACTTAAAATTTGGCAGCATCTTGGGAAGGCGGAGTATCATGCAAGCTGGCTACAACATCCTGCATGTCTATGAAATGAGCCTGTAGTGTAGCGAACTTATTCGTTGTAAGGACCCCTGTCCACTGCACTGTAGCGGTGTGACAAACTTATACGTTGTAAGGACCCCTGTCCACCGCACTGTGGCGGGGTTACAAACTTAAACGTTGTAAGGACCCCTGTCCACTGCACTGTGGCGTTGTTACAAACTGATACGTTGTAAGGACCCCTGTCCACTGCACTGTTGCGGTGTTACATACCTATTCGTTGTAAGGACCCCTGTCCACTGCATTGTGGCGGTGTTACATACCTATTCGTTGTAAGGACCCCTGTCCACTGCATTGTGGCGGTGTTACATACCTATTCGTTGTAAGGACCCCTGTCCACTGCATTGTGGCGGTGTTACATACCTATTCGTTGTAAGGACCCCTGTCCACTGCACTGTAGCGGTGTTACAAACTTATACGTTGTAAAAACCCGTCCACTGCACTGTAGCGGTGTTACAAACTTATTCGTTGTAGGGACCCATACGCTGCACTGTAGCGGTGTTACAAACTTATACGTTGTAAGGACCCGTCCAATGCACTGTGGCGGTGTTACAAACTTATTAGTTGTAAGGACCCCTGTCCAATGCACTGTAGCGGTGTTACAAACTTATTCGTTGTAGGGACCGTCCGCTGCACTGTAGCGGTGTTACAAACTTATACGTTGTAAGGACTTGTCCACTGCACTGTGGCGGTGTTACAAACTTATACGTTGTAAGGACCCCTGTCCACTGCACTGTAGCGGTGTTACAAACTTATACGTTGTAAGGACCCGTCCATTGCACTGTGGCGGTGTTACAAACAAACTTATTCGTTGTAGGGACCCCTGTCCACTGCAATGTGGCGGTGTTACAAACTTATTCGTTGTAGGGACCCGTCCACTGCACTGTGGGGGTGTTACAAACTTATTCGTTGTAAGGACCCCTGTCCACAGCACTGTGGCACTGCACTGTGGCAGTGTTACAAACTTATGCGTTGTAAGGACCCCTGTCCACTGCACTGTGGCGGTGTTACAAACTGATACGTTGTAAGGACCCCTGTCCACTGCACGGAGCGGGGTTACAAACTTATACGTTGTTAGGACCCCTGTCCACTGCACCGTGGCAGTGTTACAAACTTATTCGTTGTAAGGACCCCTGTCCACAGCACTGTGGCAGTGTTACAAACTTATTCGTTGTAAGGACCCCTGTCCACAGCACTGTGGCACTGCACTGTGGCAGTGTTACAAACTTATGCGTTGTAAGGACCCCTGTCCACTGCACTGTGGTGGTGTTACAAACATATACGTTGTAGGGACCCGTCCACTGCACTGTGGGGGTGTTACAAACTTATTCGTTGTAGGGACCCCTGTCCACTGCAATGTGGCGGTGTTACAAACTTATTCGTTGTTGGGACCCGTCCACTGCACTGTGGGGGTGTTACAAACTTATTCGTTGTAGGGACCCGTCCTCTGCACTGTGGGCGTGTTACAAACTTATTCGTTGTAAGGACCCCTGTCCACAGCACTGTGGCACTGCACTGTGGCAGTGTTACAAACTTATGCGTTGTAAGGACCCCTGTCCACTGCACTGTGGCGGTGTTACAAATTATACGTTGTAAGGACCCGTCCAATGCACTGTAGCGGTGTTACAAACTTATACGTTGTAAGGACCCCTGTCCACTGCACTGTGGTGGTGTTACAAACTGATACGTTGTAAGGACCCCTGTCCACTGCACGTAGCGGTGTTACAAACTTATACGTTGTTAGGACCCCTGTCCACTGCACTGTGGCAGTGTTACAAACTTATTCGTTGCAAGGACCCCTGTCCACTGCACTGTAGCGGTATTACAAACTTATATGTTGTAAGGACCCCTGTCCACTGCACTGTAGCGGTGTTCCAAACTTATACGTTGTAGGGACCCGTCCACGGCACTGGGGCGGGGTTACAAACTTATACGTTGTAGGGACCCGTCCCCTGCACTGTGGCGGTGTTACAAACTTATACGCTGTAAGGACCCCTGTCCACTGCACCGTGGCGGTGTTAAAAACTGATACGTTGTAAGGACCCCTGTCCACTGCACTGGGGCGGTGTTACAAACTTATACGTTGTAAGGACCCGTCCACTGCACTGTGGCGGTGTTACAAACTTATACGCTGTAAGGACCCCTGTCCACTGCACTGTGGCGGGGTTACAAACTTATACGTTGTAGGGACCCGTCCCCTGCACTGTGGCGGTGTTACAAACTTATAGGTTGTAAGGACCCCTGTCCACTGCACTGTAGCGGTATTACAAACTTATATGTTGTAAGGACCCCTGTCCACTGCACTGTAGCGGTATTACAAACTTATATGTTGTAAGGACCCCTGTCCACTGCACTGTGGCAGTGTTACAAACTTATTCGTTGCAAGGACCCCTGTCCACTGCACTGTAGCGGTATTACAAACTTATATGTTGTAAGGACCCCTGTCCACTGCACTGTGGCGGTGTTACAAACTTATACGTTGTAAGGACCACTGCACTATGGCGGGTTTACAAACTTATACGTTGTAAGGAACCGTCCACTGCACTGTGGCGGTGTTAGAAACTTATTTGTTGTAAGGACCCTTGTCCACTGCACTGTGGCGGTGTTACAAACTTATACGCTGTAAGGACCCCTGTCCACTGCACTGTAGCGCTGTTACAAACTTATACGTTGTAGGGACCAGTCCACTGCACTGTAGCGGTGTTACAAACTTATTCGTTGTAAGGACCCCTGTCCACAGCACTGTGGCAGTGTTACAAACTTATTCGTTGTAAGGTCCCCTGTCCACTGCACTGTGGCAGTGTTACAAACTTATTCGTTGCAAGGACCCCTGTCCACTGCACTGTGGCGGTGTAACAAACTTATACGTTGTAAGGACCCGTCTACTGCACTGTGGCGGTGTTACAAACTTATACGTTGTAAGGACCCCTGTAATGATACTCCACCATTTGTACTTCAATCATGTAATGATACTCTATAATTTGTACTTCAACCATGTAATGATACTCTATCATTTGTACTGCAACCATGTAATGATACTCTGCAATTTGTAATTCAGCCATGTAATGATACTCCACCATTTGCGGTGTTACAAACTGATACGTTGTAAGGACCCCTGTAATGATCCTCCACCATTTGTACTTCAATCATGTAGTGATACTCTATAATTTGTACTTCAACCATGTAATGAGACTCGACCATTTGTACTTCAACCATGTAATGATTTGTATGTACATGTTCTCTAAACTTAATAGTTTTTGTGAGAATATAAATTGTCATACTGCACTGTGGCGGTGTTACATCCACTGCACTGTGGCGGTGTAACAAACTTATCCGTTGTAACGACCCGTCTACTGCCCTGTGGCGGTGTTACAAACTTATGTAGCGGTGTTACAAACTTATACGTTATAAGGACCCCTGTCCACTGCACCGTGGCGGTGTTAAAAACTGATACGTTGTAAGGACCCCTGTCCACAGCACTGTGGCAGTGTTACAAACTTATTCGTTTCAAGGGCCCCTGTCCACTGCACTGTAGCGGTGTTACAAACTTATTCGTTGCAAGGACCCCTGTCCACTGCACCGTGGCGGTGTTAAAAACTGATACGTTGTAAGGACCCCTGTCCAATGCACTGTGGCAGTGTTACAAACTTATTCGTTGTAGGGACCCGTCCACTGCACTGTGGGGGTGTTACAAACTTATTCGTTGCAAGGACCCCTGTCCACTGCACTGTAGCGGTGTTACAAACTTATACGTTGCAAGGACCCCTGTAATGATACTCCCCCATTTGTACTTCAACCATGTAATGATACTCTACCATTTTTACTTCAACCATGAAATGATACTCTACAATTTGTACTTCAACCATGTAATGATTTGTATGTACATGTTCTCTAAACTTAATAGTTTTTGTGAGAATATAAATTGTCATTGACTATGTAGATGAGGGCGTAAGTTTCTTCAATTGACCCACTTTCAATCTGACATCAGAATTATGAGGCCAAGCTTCATGATAGTTGTTATACTACTTACAAAATCACTGGTCAGTACCTCTTTTACCGTAACGTACAATACAATAAACAGTGACATATATATAAAACGATACATTTGTTAGGAAATACGTGGAGTCGAGGTATCTATTCCATTGGTCACCCATATAACAAAATATATGAAAACAATCAAACAATACAATTGAAGTTAGCTTTAAAACTAATTAACAATAATTTATTAAGGATTTGTACAGTAACAATACTTTTTTAACTTATGTTTTTCTATACATTTCGATTGGTCCCCGTATAAATTAATTCTACTGACGTCACTAAGCATCTGGTACTCGTCTCGCCTCTCGTCGAACCGGACCGTGGCCTCGAATAGACCACCCCCGGGGCGAGCACGTAAAGTCAACTGGAAATCAACGTACGCTTTCGCACGTTCACCGTATTTGACGTGTCGATTGATGACGTCATTTTTACTTTGCTCAAAACGCAACACTTTGTCTGACGGAATAAGTTTTGTTGCGTTGAGCACTATATCCAGGTTCAGGTAGGCACACATGCTGGAGTACCCGTCTAATTGTTTATTGATAGACAGAACGATGTTGACGGCGATGTTCTGTACTTGGGGGTGAGAGGTCGACATGGTCTGATGGATTGGGCACGTGCACCAGTGGGGAAGAATTCCCGCCGTCTGGCACGAGCGTAAGAAAGGCACCTCGTCGAAGAGACTAACCCCTCTCTGTTCCGCGGGAACTGTTCTGGTTTCCCCTGTAAAATTCAGTATATTACGCAATGTCTCGTAAATATCAAAAGGCGTTGTTAAGCGATTTGAATTAATCTTCAAATTTTTCGTTATGTTTGGATATTTTTCCAAAAACCATTTCGGAAGTATCACATACATAAATGGTAATCTTTCTTCCAATTTGCCTACATACGTTTCTCTAATTTTCCCAAATCGTATTCCATGGTCACTATAAAATATCACAGCAGTTTTGTTGAGAGCTCCTGACTCTTGTAAATCGGCGAGCAGCGTCCGATAGGGAAGGTCCGCCACTGCGGTGTGCTCCAATACGTTATGTGTCAAACCTGTGATAAAGGCAAACGCAAAATGCGGACGGTTCTTGTACATTAACATAAAATCCTTTACATAATCGAGCATAATTTGTGTCTCTAGCTTTGTCCCTACACATTTGCCCTCGTTGTACCATAGTCGTTTCTGCTTTGTCATGGCTAAACTAAAGTGGCGGTTGAAATAATCTGCAGGCTGTTGGTGAAATCCTTCCTTAAGATAATCAAAGATGGCGATTGCTGGTTGATCCTCAGCGTAAAGGGTACGGAAGCCTCGGTTTGAGAACTGCTTCCATATGAAGTCGTATTTGTCGAACGGGATGTCATTTAGTGTCTCGTTCCAAGGAACTTCCTCCAAGAATTTTCCAAGCGTCATGGGGACAATGTTAACAAACGTATTATCAGCCACCTTGTTGTAGCCCTTCATCTCTATAGCGCCCAGTGTGTTCTCCAGGTAGTCCTTGGTCCGCCGCATATAACGCATAAAGTTAAGTCTAGAAACGGAGTCCACCCCTATCATAGCCACATTTAGAGATTCCTTTACGCCCGTTTCCTGCCGGTGTTTCTGGAATGTCCGCTTGCACTTCCGGTCCAGCTTTGGTTTTGGCCGTACAAACTGATGGAAGTTTGTGTACATCAACCCACCGCCTCTGTTATAACACCTTACTCTTACGAAGTCATAACGCATTATCTGTGACGTGTTAAACGCGGCACTTTCCTCTAAATAGTTATAGTAGTTATTTCTCTCTACAAAAGGTGGACGATGAATCGGTTGGTACTTACAAAAGCTAAAATAGTGTCTGTCTTTTGAATGAATAATGGCTGTCCAATTGATCTCCAGCCGAGTTCCATTTGCATAGGTCAAAGGCAAATAGCGATCACACTTTATAAAGGCTCCTTGACGAAGATATTTTACAACAGATGAATCGAATGGATCAAGATTTGGGAGTTTACAGTGCGGCGTGTCTACGAGAAACTTCATCTGGAGGTCGTAACCACGGCTGTGACCTCCTACACGTGGGGCCTCGGCAACTCCTGTGAAGTTGAGTTGTCCAGAGTACCTATGTACCTGATAGAACACGAACAGAAGCAAGGACGTGCCCAGAAAAATCATAAACTTGGCCAACCGGACCACCAAGGACCCCTTCATTGTCATCAACCGCCTGAAAAAAAGAAACACCAGTTTACTAAACCTCATGTCTACCTTCTTGTCACCAAAAGAGCAAGAAACATTCACAGTGTTGGCCCTTTCATATACTAGTAGTCACCAACCTTTGAAAAGGAGAAACAGTTCACGGACATTAAGTTTATTACCGATGATATAGTTTGTCCATGTGGGCCACCAAAGTCTGTAAGCTCTGTTTCTGTAGGTGAGACGCTCACGTATACCAATCTGATTTGTTACATTTTTCTAGTAATATCGTGTTTATATCAGATTGGTCGCACACCAATGGGCACCCGAGCCTACTAACTTATGTTTGTTACGTTGAAAGTCTCAGTTCCTTACAACACGGTACCCATCACCAATAAAACCTACACTAATAGTTGATACTTGCTGGTGAATTAATCATTCATCCTTTAACCTATATTTTTAACAAATCCATCAGTTTTGGTTCATTTCCAAAAGACTGGAAGAAAGCCAAAGTCACCCCAATATTTAAAGCCGGGGACATGACCTCTGTAAATAACTATCGACCTATTTCTGTCCTCTCTGTGGTTAGCAAAATATTAGAGAGACATGTGCATAACTCTTTTTATAAATATTTGTCATCACGGATGTTTTGCTTTTAGATCTTCGTAAAGCATTTGATACCGTAAATCATAAAGTGCGCTTGCATAAGGTTAATGCTTACGGGGTTTCTGATATAGCATTGAACTTTTTCAAATCATACCTTTCCGGTAGAGTGCAAGCGGTAAACTTTAAAGGTACTTTATCAAGATGTAAGGAAATAAACATCGGTGTCCCCCAGGGTTCGATACTTGGGCCACTATGTTTTATCTTGCATATGAATGACTATCCAACATGTTTGAAACATTCATCAGTTGTAATGTACGCTGACGACACATCACAGGGTGTAAAATGTGATGCAGTTGATGATGTCGAAGAAAAGTTAATAGTTGACCTTGAATCAGCAAGTGAGTGGATGACCAATAATAAAATGAGTCTAAATCTAACAAAAACCCAATGCACGATTATTGGCTCATCACAAAAATTATCAGAACACAGACAGATGCGTGTCAAAGTGGGTGATATAATTATTGAAACTGTACACAATGCCAAACTGCTGGGAGTTTTTATTGACAGCTGTTTATCATGGAATGCACATATTGAAAATGTATGTAAGAAATTATCAAAGAAAATTAGAGTGTTAAAACGAATCAGAAAATTCATGTCCCAAGAAATGTCCAAAATGGTGTATACGACTATTGTTTTACTTCATTTTATGTACTGTTCTTCAGTATGGAGCAATCCTACAAATGTGTCCCTTAAGGAAAGAATATTTAAACTTCAAAAGAGAACAGCAAGAGTAATTCTAAATATAAGAGAAATTCGTACACCAACTTTGTTACCTTTAAAGACTTTAAACTGGATGCCTATTCACGATTTTTATACTTTTAGAAAATGTGTTCTAACTTATAAAATCCTTAACACCCAGGCTCCAGGATTTTTAAAAAAAAAATTATTTACCTATGTAACCCAGATTTCCACAAGAACCACAAGATCTTCTGCAATGAACCAGCTCTATATCCCCAAGTGTAGAACAAGTTTTTACAAAATTTCTTTTAGATACACTTGTACTATTTTATGGAATACTTCGGAAGAAACCATACGAACCACAACAAATGTTCTGGCTTTTAAAAAGGCATATCTGGCCAACTATTTTAAAAATACTAGATCATGAATACCATGTGTTACCGGCGGAGCAAGTAGGTAGGGGATTCCCAATCACTGGGAAACCGAGTACTATATGCTATATACTATATGTATCTTTTAAAGTACAATATTTGAAATTATCCCTATGGTTCTGTTTATTATAATTTCCTGAGATAATCCTTATATTACCCTGTGATTAATATATGTATGTATTGACTTGTAATATGCTGTGATATTTTCTAATGTTCTAAATGCAATTCTGTGATATTTAGTGATACAATATAATAGGTTGTCTTAATAATGTATTGTACTATTTAACTGCTTTTTCTATTTTATTGTATGTCATATGTCTCTGTATGCGTGATGTGCTGTTGTTTTATGTATGTATATATAATGTGTTTTACAGGGCCATATTGTAAACTAGATGAAAATCTAAATATGTTACCCTGTCTAAATAAAATAATTTATTATTATTATTAATAATATATACTAAATAATACACTAAAAGTTAATATATACTAAATATTACACTAATAGTTAATATATACTAAATAATACACTAATAGTTAATATATACTAAATATTACAATTATACTTAATATATACTAAATAGTACACTAATAGTTAATATATACTAAATATTACACTAAAAGTTAATAATTCAGTCTTGCTTGTAACAAGCATTTTCATTGGCTTAAAAAATTATGTTATCAGCCCATAACGTAAAAAAATGACGTCGCCGTTTGTAACGTCGCTTTTGATAGGCTGATACAGCAGCGCAATAATTTCTAAGAGAAAAGAGTCCATCAATAAAAGTGTATTTCCACAGGGATTGTGTATAGTAAATCAAATTATAAGGATTAACTTGAATACATTTTTCATGTTATGGAGATATAACACAAAAAAACGGAGTGTGCTCTAAATAAACCGCGAAATATTACACTAATAGTTACAGTTATATATACTAAATATTACACTAATAGTTAATATATACTAAATATTACATTAATAGTTAGAGCAGTAAGGAAATATCTGAGGCATAAAGAAATAGGTAATGATGCTGATAGTTATCCTTTTATTCAACTTAATCTTGAGATTTTCTTTGAAAAAAATTAAAGGGTCAAAGGACTTCTACAAAATACTATGCAAAAATAATATCACAGCAACAGGTAAAAGAAAGTGGAATGGTATTTTTAATCTAGATGATGAAACATGGAATTGTATATATAAAAGACCCTTTCAAGTTTCGAAAAATTCCAAATTCGAAAGTTACACTGGTTACAATATAGAATAAATCATCACATTTTAACAACCACTTCGCATATATTTAAGATAGGACTGGTAGAAACTCCATACTGCTTTTTTTTGTAAAACAGAAATAGAAACGATAGTTCATATGCTATGGGAGTGTGAAAAAGTACAGTCATTTTTTCAGAACTTTGAATTTTTATTAGACTCATTATTTATTCCATTTACTTTTAATAAAGAAACTTTCATTTTTGGCAAGCATAACTATAAAAGTACTTACTATACAACTGATAACCTTATTCTGCTAATAATGAAACAGTATATCTATAGATCAAGATGCTTGCAACAAACTCTATCAATTCATGCTTTAAAAAATGCTATTATAGATCACTACAGAATTCAAAAATATATTTCTATAGGCAATGGAGTAGATACTGCTTTAAAAATGGAAAATTCTTGGAAGAAATGGAATAAATTATTAGAAATCACTCCCAATCCCTGACAAACCCAAAAAAGATAGAATTAGTGTAATATTTAGTATATATAACTGTAACTATTAGTGTAATATTTCGCGGTTTATGTATAGTTTACCTCTGTTAGTCAAATTTTGGTTAAAAGAGAGAAATGTAACTCCCTGCCACTTTACTGTTGAAATTAAAATTATTATTATGTTTCAGGTTAAATAAATAGTTGCACTAATAAATGGACACACATGGACTCAACATCTTCACCACTTTGACCGCTTGTTGTCTTCTCAGCCCCCTCCCCCCTCCCTCCATTTCTATTTCTGTAAAAGCTCTTTTGCTCCTCTCTCTCTCTCTCTCTCTCTCTCTAAAAACAAATCATTACAAAATTTGTATTAAATGTTGGTTGAAGAATGAAGAATGAGTGTGAAAATTAATATTGTAATTATTCTGTAATGATCAAAATGTTTCAAAAGAAAATATATAAAAAAAATATAAAAAAATATTACATTAGTAGTTAATAATTTAATCTCGCTGGTAACAAACCTTTTCATTGGCCTAAAAAAATATAGTATCAGCCCATAACATAAAAAAATGACGTCGCCGTTTGTAACGTCACTTTTGATTGGCTGATACAGCGGCGTAATATTTTCTAAGATAAAAGAGTCCATCAATAAAAGTTGATTTCCACAGGGATCGTATATAGCAGATTAAATTATAAGGATTAACTTAAATATATTTTTTATGTTATCGAGCTAAAACACAAAAAACAGGAGTGTACTCTCATCATTATTTAGAGTACACTCCATTTTTGTGTGTTATAGCTCCATAACATAAAAAATATATTCAAGTTAATCCTTAAATATACACTAACTATTACACTAAAAGTGAATATATACTGAATAAAACACTAATAATTAATACATACTAAATATTACACTTAAAGTTAATATATACTAAATATTACACTAATAGTTATTATATACTAAATAATACACTAATAGTTAATATATACTAACAATTACACTAACAGTTAATATATACTAAATATTACACTAATAATTCTACATATTTCACTAATAGTTAATATATACTTATTATCACACTAACAGTTAATATATACTAAATATTATACTAATAATACTAAATATTACACTAATAGTTAAAACATTATAAAAATTCACTAATAGTTAATATATCTTAAATATTACACTTATAGTTAATATATACTTAAAATTACATCAACAGTTAATATATACTAAATATTACACTTATAATTCCAAATATTACACATAGTTAATAAATACTAAATAATACACTAATAGTTAATATATACTAACTATTACACTAACAGTTAATATATACTAAATAATACACTAATAATATTAAATATTACACTTACAGTTAATAAATACTAAATAATACACTAATAGTTTATATACCAACTTTTACACTAATAGTTAGTATATACTAAATATAACACTTACAGTTAATATATACTAAATATTACACTAATAATACTAAATATTAAACTAATAGTTAATATATACCAACAATTACACTAATAGTTAGTATATAATAAATATAACACTAATAGTTAGTATATAATAAATATTACACTTATAGTTAATATATACTAACTATTACACCAACAGTTAATATAAACTAAATATTACACTAATAATACTAAATATTACACAAACAGTGAAGATATATTAAATATTACACTTATAATTAATATAAACTAAATATTACACTTAAAGTTAATATATACTAAATATTACACTAATAGTTATTATATACTAAATAATACACTAATAGTTAATATATACTAACAATTACACTAACAGTTAATATATACTAAATATTACACTAATAATTCTACATATTTCACTAATAGTTAATATATACTTATTATCACACTAACAGTTAATATATACTAAATATTATACTAATAATACTAAATATTACACTAATAGTTAAAACATTATAAAAATTCACTAATAGTTAATATATCTTAAATATTACACTTATAGTTAATATATACTTAAAATTACATCAACAGTTAATATATACTAAATATTACACTTATAATTCCAAATATTACACATAGTTAATAAATACTAAATAATACACTAATAGTTAATATATACTAACTATTACACTAACAGTTAATATATACTAAATAATACACTAATAATATTAAATATTACACTTACAGTTAATAAATACTAAATAATACACTAATAGTTTATATACCAACTTTTACACTAATAGTTAGTATATACTAAATATAACACTTACAGTTAATATATACTAAATATTACACTAATAATACTAAATATTACACAAACAGTGAAGATATACTAAATATTACACTTATAATTAATATAAACTAAATATTACACTTATAGTTTAAAAAAAATATACTAAATATTACACTAATAGTTAATAAATACTAAATATTACACTTATAGTTAATATATACTAAATATTACACTAACAGTTACAATATACTAAATATTACACTAACAGTCAATATATACTAAATATTACACTAATAGTTAAAATATACTAAATATTACACTAATAATTAATATATACTAAATATTACAATTATAGTTAATATATACTAAATATTACAATAAAAGTTAATATATATTAAATATTACACTAATTGTTTATATATACTGAATATTCCACTAAAAGTTAATGTATACTAAAAATTACACTAATAGTTACAGTAATACATACTAAATATTACACTTATAGTTAATATACACTAAATAATACACTAAAAGATAATATATACTAACTAATGCACTAACAGTTCATATATACTAAATATTATACTAATAATACTAAATATTACACTAATAGTTAATATATACTAATTATTACACTATATACTAAATATTATACTAAATATTACAATAAAAGTTAATATATATTAAATATTACACTAATTGTTTATATATACTGAATATTCCACTAAAAGTTAATGTATACTAAAAATTACACTAATAGTTACAGTAATATATACTAAATATTACACTTATAGTTAATATACACTAAATAATACACTAAAAGATAATATATACTAACTAATGCACTAACAGTTAATATATACTAAATATTACACTAATAATACTAAATATTACACTAATAGTTAATATGTACTAATTATTACACTATATACTATATATTATACTAAATATTACAATAAAAGTTAATATATATTAAATATTACACTAATTGTTTATATATACTGAATATTCCACTAAAAGTTAATGTATACTAAAAAATACACTAATAGTTACAGTAATATATACTAAATATTACACTTATAGTTAATATACACTAAATAATACACTAAAAGATAATATATACTAACTAATGCACTAACAGTTAATATATACTAAATATTACACTAATAATACTAAATATTACACTAATAGTTAATATATACTAACTATTACACTATATACTAAATATTACACTAATAATGCTAAATATAACACTAATAGTTAATATATACCTAATAATACACTTATAGTTTAAAAAAATATACTAAATATTACACTAACAGTTAATAAATACTAAATATTACACTTATAGTTTTAAAATATATACTAAATATTACACTAACAGTCAATATATACTAAATATTACACTAATAGTTAATATATACTAAATATTACACTTATAGTTTAAAAATATATACTAAATATTACACTAACAGTAAATATATACTAAATATTACACTAATAGTTAAAATATACTAAATATTACACTAATAGTTAATATATACTAAATTTTACACTAATAGTTAATATATACTTAATATTACACTGATAGTTAATATATACTAAATATTACACTAACAGTTAATATATAATACTAAATATACCAATTTGAAACAATAGCTCTCACTCACACGACTCGCCAGCCAAGATAACTCAGTCCCTTCAGCATATTAATCCCTGTTGCTCCGATCTAAAGGGTGCCGCTGAAATTGGAACAAGTATGAGATTTAATATGACGATGGTGATTCACATTTATATTGATCATGGCAACATCATCAATATTTTACGAATAACCCAAAGCTTAATAACAAATACCGCAAAACTACTTGGACTTTGGACGATAGAAAAATAACGTTCGATCACCCTTATGATAGTAAGATTAAAATAGGTAGTTCTGATATCATAAAACAATGTGCTAGCATGTCAACTGACCAATCAGAATGTCGACATTCCTAACAAGGCACTAACTTGTTGACTAGACGGACTAGAGTCGACATTTAGAATAAGACAACAATTCGATATTTAAAATGTATATGTACTTATAACCCCTAACACACATTCACACAATTAGAAAAAATACAGACTCTCATCAATTTTAGCAAGATAAAATGTACATAACAGTACTACATCACAAACAAAGGTTCATGTCAAAAGGTATAGATATTAATTTTGATAAAAGGTCGATTTAATAAAAAGGAAAAAGGCATGTGGTCAAAATACGTACTAAATTCTCAGGTACGAACACTCCGATTATGTTGTTTTAGCTAAGATCGTCGAATGGAGTGACACTTTGTTGATAGTCAACCTTGCACTTGAGTTAATTAATTTACAACAAATTACATTTGTCAATATGCCAGGACTTTTCCCATGACTGCCGTGTGTGTCGTGCCATTGTGCAGCTTATTCTGTTAGTAAGGGTTTAATTAATTTCCGTATGGATTAGCTAAACAGGTGTTCAAGTTGCTGAAGGATTAGCTGGACAGGTGTCCGTGTGTGTATATATGTCCGTGTGTGTATCTGAAGGGGTTAGCTGGACGTATGTCCGTGTGTGTATCTGAAAGGTTAGCTGGACGGATGTCCGTGTGTGTATCTGAAAGGTTAGCTGTACGGGTGTCCGTGTGTGTATCTGAAGGGTTAGCTGTACGGGTGTCCGTGGGTGTATCTGAAGGGGTTAGCTGGACGGATGTCCGTGTGTGTATCTGAAGGGTTAGCTGTACGGGTGTCCGTGTGTGTATCTGAAGGGTTAGCTGGACGGATGTCCGTGGGTGTATCTGAAGGGTTAGCTGTACGGGTGTCCGTGGGTGTATCTGAAGGGTTAGCTGGACGGATGTCCGTGGGTGTATCTGAA